CACATATTCCATCAGAGATGACTAATGATAGAACTTATAAGAAGCCAAACAACTCATTTGCTTTCAATCAGCTTGCATCACCTATTCATTCTCATAATATTATGTATGACGGTAGACATACAGGTGAGTACTATCCTAATTCTATGGCTAATGGCATGCCTGGCCAACATTACAATATCAATGACACTCCTAAGTCGAGAATGGCATACTTGAACCAGTCGTCCCCAAAGCGTACGTCTCCGTCAACTCAGTCCACCAACGGCACCAAAAGTTTGCGCAGAAAAGTCACAAGCAATCCTAAAAGCTTTATTCCTTCGAATGGAATGCACTCAGCAAGCCCGAAGCAATACCATGAACATAATGATTACTATTATAATAATTAGAATTGTTTGTCATTACATCCAATAGGCCATTATTAATTAATTTTATGCATCTACACATCTTACACCGATAGATTTTCCATGATTTCACTTCATAAGACTAGATTGTCCTTGTTTTATTTTAATTTTATTGTCTGGTTATACTGGAGCTTTAGCTTTCCTGGTATCATATTTGAAGTTTTTTTTTACCTGATCTAAGATATCGTATGTCCATTAAGACGAAATTTGCATATATATAAGTCATGAGAAGAATAACTATGTTGCATACTGATTATTTCAATGCCGTTATGGCTTATATTACTACTTAATATCATTTAATATCATTTTCAGTTACTATTATTGCACTTATATCATTTTCTTTATTTTTAATTTCTGGTTTAGAAATAGCATGCTTTTAATCATCATGTTCACAAAGAGCTCTTCTGTATTTATTTTCATTATACTATATACTTATCTAATAAAGGTTTATCTCCTAGAGTCAAGTACATACATTTTGCAATCGTCCATAGTGTAGGATAAATATGATCACGTGCAACAGAATTTTCGAGATAAATGATGGCAAGAGATAAAAGGGGAGTTGTATCTTGTGATTTTGAAGCAATATTATGACAATATAAATCTAAGAAGTAATTAGACTCTTGGAAAAGATGTGTAGAAATAGAAAAAACGATGAGTCCACTGATTTGGAGGTTGTCGATTTGACCGACAATGCTAACGAAAGCTATCATGACGATATAGATCAAGTTATGCAAAATGTTAACAATATTAAATCGAATTTGGGTTCAATTGCTAAATCATTTTTTAATTTTACTAGTGATTCGGTTAGTGACATTAACAACAAGGCTAAGGACTATTCTATGAATTGGTTGTCAGAGGTTGATGATGAGTCAAATGAACATATCAATGAAATCCGTAAGCACTTCAAGAAGTTTTTTAATGATTTTGAGCCTAAAGTAGATGAGTACTTCCCCAGACCTTATGAAAGTAGAAGCAGCAGCAACAGTGGTCATCATGACCAGTTTCCATTGCAATTCTCTCCGTGGTTACCAGGTAGAGATCATTTTCCTCATTTCTTCGGAGGATCCAGAAAATGTGGCAAGACACCATTTGGGTTCTATTCGTACAAGACTCCATCAATAAGACACTACCACGAATGCATTGATAAGAAAGGTGAATCTGTGTGGGATTCTCATGGGTATTGGAGATGTTTGTTTCCAAACTCAGAGGTGCCCAATGAGTTATTGAAGTTAAAGAACGAAAAGCTTGGTTCTGAAATTTTAACTAAGGAAGACTTTAATAATGCTTTAACTAGCGAACAAAGCTCCCAGAAAGACGGTGTTATTGACTTAGGTGAAAAGGGTATCTATTTTAAGCAATTCACGGACTTCTTGAACTGGAAAAGCATAATGTACGAAAATGTTAAGCGGGATAAGGAAAAGAAAAGACAGGAGCTCATAGAAAGAAGCAAGCAGCAGGCGCAAGAATGGAAAGGTTATAACGCTCCTGATGCAGAATTGACCAAGGATAAGTCAGTTATTTCAAGTTCAGTGCAGTCGAATTTAAGTTCGAATATGGATTCGAATGAATGCGTTTTAAACGAAACAAAAACAGAGTATTATAATGATGGTACTTCATGTACGAAAACGATAACCAAAACGAGACCATTTGATGCAAAAGATTGGGTTAATGTGACTGAGAATGTCGAGCATAATAATACCAGCAATGGCAAAAATGGATGGTTTTGGAATTCAAAGGATAATTAAGTGGGTAGCTTAATTCTTATTGATGATAATAATATGTGACTAATGATATTAATATGGCTTAAATAGTAATTTATATAGTTGATTATCAAGATTGTATATATTTTACTTTATTTTGTGTAATATTTCCTAATGGTGAATAATTCAAAGAAGGAAAGAGATAAAGATTAAACTAAAGAGTGTAAGATAGTATGAATAATAAAAGTAAATGAATCCATTAAATAAAATCATATTCCTTTCAGCATTTTTAGCGTCAGGGTTTTTGCTAATACTATTATCATGTGCATTGTATAATAATTGGAAGCCATTATGGGTTATAGTAATATTTTTAATTGCTCCATTACCGAACATAATAGCACTGACAATTGAAAGTCGAAGAGACGACTTTTTGACCTTCAGTAATGACCATGGAAATAACCCGACAACATTAGAAGAAATGTGCAAATTTTTGACGGGGGTTTTACTTGTAAGTGGGATTTCATTACCATTAACATTATATCACACTCATTTGATACAATTCGGATCTATGATAATGAGTATAATCGGAGGATTAATAGTGTACGTGGACATAATCATATTTATATGGTTTTTTAGTGAAGAAGAGGAAGAACATGAAGACTTCAATTTCTAGTGGTGAAAATGCATTTAATAAACTTATACGTTGGTTTTTGACTTGTATAATATAAATAGTACACGTACACATCTATATATCTATGAGCTAAATATCTTCCCACTTCAAATCGAATCTACCTTCAGGAATCACGTAGTTCTCAATCGCTTCCACGACTTCGTCGGCGGTGGTGGCCACCTTCATGATTTCGCCATTCTTAACAGATACAAACTGCGAATCAATCGAGTCCTGGATGAACGTCAAGAAGTTATCGTAGAAACCATCCATGTTATACACAACAATGGGCTTGTTATGAATGTTTAATTGGAACCATGTAACCATCTCCATCAACTCCTCTAACGTACCATATCCACCGGGAAGTGCAACAAATGCGTCTGCTTCTTTACCCATTAATCTTTTTCTAGTATGCATGTCCTTAACTAAAGTAGTGTGTCCATATTTTTCGGAGTCTGGGATTGGAGTCGATCCGTTGTGGTTATCAATAGAAGATTTCAACTTATCGTTCACTTCCTCGCTTGTCTCCTTGGTTCTTTCTCTAGAAATCAATGCCTCGGGAATGACTCCATGTACGTATCCTCCATTAGTAGCACATCCTTCAGCAACCGCTCCCATGAGACCAGTAGATCCTCCTCCGTAAACTAATCCCCAGTTTTTATCAGCTAAGGTCTTTCCTAACTTGGCCGCATCTTCAGCAAACTTGGGTTTGCTTCCAAAACTTGATCCGCAGAAGACACATACAGTCTTTTCTGGTTTTATCGTTGTTTTTGTTGAGTCTGAAGTCATTTTGTTAATTTCTTTTGTATATTTGAATAATATAGTAAAAATAAGATAAAGTTTTAGTATCATAGATACAAGGCGAACTTTAAGCTATTTATCTAGATCGTGGAAATGTCACAAAACCTACCGCGGAGTTTCCGAAACAAGCTGCAAAATAAGATAAAGAATGACATAGCACAGTAGCTGATATGCTAAGATAGGGGATGATTCGTTACATTGTATGGGGCAGCTGCAGTGGTGTGTTTTAGCTTTTAATAAATTGTGGTGTATGTAAAGCTAGATCATGTTAGTGAAGCTCGAACTTGAAACACTCGTTGAACGTGGTATCTTCAGAATCGCATTGTTACTTGCACCGACCGAAACACAAACATAAGTCTATCTGTAGGTATCCAGCAAATAGACTTGAACTAGCCACGGACCGAGTCATTTGTTATTTAGATACTTGACTGGTCGTAGGGACGTTAGACTGTAGGAATGGATATGAATAAGAGGCTCTAGTGACGAATACGTGGCATATTTTTAGCCCAACAGGTATTGTGATATGGTTCCGTATAATATTGTATTGTGCGTCATTGGTCATCGGAGGATAATTGGATATTCCCGTGCAATACAAGCACCATTAGGCCTTCCTGAAAAACGATCACTAGATAGCTTACCGAATGGATATCCTAAAACACTTTATAAACTTTTAAATATACACCTTCTACACCTGAACGACTTCTAATTCACATCTATTCGACCCAAGAATCATTCCGGGTAATGGTCTTCGAGACGTTTCTCACTTGAGTCACCTATTATCACATCGAATACCATCAATAGGTAATTTCAAATTGCCTATAAATATTCCATTACTTCCTAGTTGAATAACGTCTTGGTAGTCGCATAGTTATTTTATTATACGTTTGTCTCTATGCTGAATTGTTTTTTACAATATTGTTGTCAGTCGGTAATGCCTAATGTCTTTAATATTCTGTAGTTCAGTTCAATGTGATAAACAATACATCTTACTCTGTATAATGGCACATATAAACAATCGTCGAAACTATTACAAAAATTAACATTTTGTAAATAGTCCAGTTCTCGTTATCTCGGTCTGGCAATTATGCTATACTTTAACGACAAAAAAATTTGTTGTTTAAAACCGAGATTTCACTTACAACGCCTAATTACCAGTTCCTAAAATTTGCCTGCAATAGTACGCTGGTAGAAGAAACGGTATGGTCTAATAATAGGTTCATGTGTTGTTAACAATAGGAGATTCGTATTTTTAAAGACACATAACGCGAATAGAAACGCGATTCCATCAGGGTTTTTAATCTTTAAATAGGTTAATTAGGAGTGGAATAAAGAATAAAGCAGAGAAACAACTTTCAAGAAAAGGTTGTTTCTATTAAGTTCTTCTGGTAAGAATAGTTAGTGATATTCAATAGTTGCGCAGGTGACGAATAGAAAATGCTGAGAAATAGACAAGCTTTGCTAGACCAGTTAGATAATATAGCAATGTTCAGTACGCTGGAATCTTCAGAATTAAAACCAGAAGATACATTAGCTCTTGAACAGAAGGAGTATTACGACGATACAGATACAGAAATGTCGGATGTTTCCCGATATACGGATTCGTTTAATGATAATGGGTCTATTGGAACGACTGATACCAAAAATACGGATATAATTCCCACCCTGTTGCCAACGATGAAGGAATTACCGGAATTACCGAAACATACGATCCACAATCACCAGAACTTTCAGAAACAAATACATATAGGGATGATGAACATTGAGAACTTGGGTAATGTCCTTGATTGTGTTGAGGACTTGCTATTGCAAGAGAACCAAATGATTGAAGAGGAATTAGCCAATGTGATCCGTGAAATAGGGAATAGCATACCGAACAACACATTTAATGTTTCTCTTGAACACATGTTAATGGGATGTCCAAAAAGGTGAGTGGTGTATTTACGGAATGATACAAATACAGCTGCACCAGACTCCAAATTTCATCCAAAGCGACGATAACGAGTAATTAATGAAATAGAGATAAACGTTACATACGAGTACCCCAGGCGATTATACCCACCAGACAGGCCAATGTCTAAGTAATATTTATAGAAAGAAATAGAATCGTTTATCTAGTATCATATATAGTTTTATATATATGCAGTACGCAATGATTAAATATAAAATCGAATATCCCACTAAAAGGAGAAAGATAACGATGTAAGTCCTATAGAATGAGTGGAGTGAAAGAAATTAAATCACTAATCAACAAGACCAAGAGCTATCTTGATCAACTTGATTCGGTGATAGAAGAGCGAGACAGATTGATAACGGTTTTAAAATTAGTTCCGTCATCTAACGACAATTTGGATTTGATCAACTGTTTAAACAAAGTCATTAAGAGTTTGAATTACATACAGAATGATATTATTAATTTAAGCAAAAAGGGGACCACGAAGCCAGAAATTTATGAGGAGTTGGTGCAGGGCCTTGAAAATTTGCACACTAGATACCACCAGCTAACAAATGACTTAACAGACGATATATATGTCGATATAAACGAATATGGGTTCGAAAAAAAGGAAATACCCAAAATAAACATTCCAGGCAAGTCAGTGAGATTTTCGGATAAGGTTGAAGAAACAAGTCCTGTTCCGGAGGTTCAACAACATTTCAAGCCTTACAGAGACGACGAGGAGTCCGTTGCGTCATTTGAGAGTCAGACTAATCCCCAAATGTATGCCCAGCACCAGCAACAGATTATCAATCAAGATGAAGACTTGGGAGTATTGCATAATTCGGTTAGAAGGCAGCATTCGATGGGGTTGCATATTAACGAAGAGATAGATGACCATTTGATCATGTTGAATGATTTAGAACTGGGGGTAGAACGTTCAAAGTATATGCTTAATAGTGCCACCAATAAGTTGAAAGGCTTTAGACAGAAGTGCCGTGAAAACGGAAGTTTGGTGACTATTGTTGTTTTGACAGTAATTTTGATTTTATTGTTGGTTGTTTTAAATTAGGAGTTAATTTTAAATATTTTGCAAGATCTAAGATTTAGACCTTAGACAATTATCCGGATGGGTAGAATTTTGAATTGAGACGCATACGAGTATCGCCAACTATCAATCAATCTTAATTCCAATGTGTGCTAGCACTACAACGACACATTGGCTAAGGTATGGTATAGCATCAGCAACACATCAAGGGTAGGTAGTACATTTAGATGAGATTTTACAACGATAATAAGTATTGTTGCTAAAATTACCCAATCTATTAGATGTAAATACGTTTTATCTACAATTCAGTTGTATAATCACCTGTACATTACGCTTCTCTATAAATTCACTGCATTACGTGCTCTAATAACTACAATATCGTTTTTTTATCATTACCATTACCAATACTATATATCTAGCCACTAAGTCTCTATAATCGTTTCCGTGTATCACCGGCAAACTTGTCTTCTGCAGCCATATGCTCTAATATCTAGTGGGGAAAGTCGTTTTCTTCCTTGTTGTCATGAACATGGAACAAATCCTCAAACTCGTCGAGAGGAATCTCTAAGTCGGTCAAGCGACCGGTTCCCACGTCGTACATCATACCCCATACCTCGATGTCGCCGTTCTTCAACGCCATCGATGCCGATGGATGTCTCTTCAAGGCCGTCACCGACAGAACCACGTTCAACTCGGCCAATTTGCGTGCCTTCATCTTTGGATCGTCATTGTACTCGGCCAACAACGCCAAGTTAGCAGCCCTCGTCTGCTTGATGGGTGTCAACCACAAGTCTAACACTCCACCTATACGCTTCGACGACATCGATGCCCAGATGCCCCCACAATCGGTGTGTCCACACACAATAATCTTCTTCACCTTCAATACGTCCACCGCAAACTGGATCACTCCCTGTGACGAAAAATCGTTGGCTGTGACAATGTTTCCGATGTTTCTGTGGGTGAATATTTCTCCTGGCAATGTCGAAAGACATGATTCACCAGCCCGCGAGTCGGAACACCCGATCCACAACGTGTGTGGCGCTTGTCCCTTGCCATTCAACTCAAATACCTGATTTGAGTGGTTATGTTTGATCGAGTCAATATAGTACTGGTTATTTTCTAAAAACTCTTCTTTAGTCGATTCTTTCAGCAACGAAAAGGGGAAGTTAGGATTCAACCCTCTCAAGTTCTTGACCATGTCATGTTGTTTCTTTTCCAATGGTGGTGTAATCTGACCTTGCGGAAGATCCGTCTCATGCTCTTGTTCTAACTGATAGTGCAAAATATTTTCTCTTCCCATGATTAAAGTTGATGTGTGGAACCTGCAAATTCCCAAAGGTCTAATCCCAGTATGAGGTTGAAATAATCGTTTTAAGAAGAACACCTTGGATATTTAAGTACTATTTATATGGGCCAACATTTTCTTGATGGGTATTAAAGGATTTTATAGTAGTAGTACATTGTTTTTGGCCGTTATGCAATGAGAAAGACGTCATCATGGAGTCGTGCGATGTCGATAAAAACATCCATGCACCCGATTACTACGAAGAAGATTCTACTACACAGGCTAGACAGATTAGACATGGTACAGCTTACGATTGTACGGTATTAGCCATTGATACTAAGTATTATTTGAATACAGTAGCAGTAGTTATGGCAGTATTAGTGACAGTAATAGTAGTAGTAGTAGGAGTAATCGCGGTAGTGATAGTAAAATTAGTGACATAAGTAGTAGTGGTAGCATCAATAAAGCCCTCGACTCGACCTGTGCCACATTATCGAAGATGTGGAACCCAACACCCGCCTATGAATAGTCCTTGATATCGTTTACTTATCTCACTTCCTCCGATAATTTTTCGGCCGTCGGTGAGACGCCCCGGTGAGAGACGCAAGTGATAAGAATCATCGGCGACCACGTTGACGTCAGTGCAGCTTACGTGGAACCTTCGGCCACACACTTCCGCTGGCAAAAAGTCAGTGAGGCAATATATCGTGACTTGGTCAGCAGAAGAAGAATTTATAATATTGCGCGCACTGGAGTCGTACACTGGAGTCGTATTAGCCTTTGAGTGTACATAATTATTGGTGTCCAATTAAGTGATTTGATAACTTAAGAGATACTCTATAATTTCCATAATACCACCATGTAGTATCCATGACCAACGAAGACGACCTCGCGGGTACGATGAACCACGGCCGGCCATAGTCTGTTAAGCTCGGGAGCTTAACACATTGATCTAGTGATTGCAGGTGTATTCGCATGGCAGGGAATTTGCAGAATACGAGCGATAATAAGCGAGACCACCAAGTTCAGAAGGGGTGCAAAGGACTGTCGAAACGCACCCCAATTACTACGTGGTATTGATGCTTTTGGTGCAGTCTGCTGAGATGCCGACTCATAAGCAGCAGCGGTTGTTTTCTGGAGTCCACGATGTTAAATTTGTCTCCTCAAGACAGTACTTGATGCAAAAAATTCTCAAATCAGTAGGGAAATACCTAAGTATTTCGAGGACTGTTTATATATCGAATTACGAGAACTACTTACAATATTCTCAGGACTGAAATTTCGTTATGTATACATCTTGATTCTACAGGTATTGTTAACAATTTGATATGTAGATTTGACTATATTAAACTTTTGAGTTCACCTACTTCGTAGAAATATAATATAACGAGAGGCCCTCTTCAATTTAGATGGATGTGTAGCCACCATCAACGACTATGTCAGAGCCGGTAATATAAGAAGCAGCGTCAGAAGCCAAGTATAAATAAGCACTGGCGATTTCGTATGGTAAAGCTTCTCTGCCAGCTGGGACTAGAGACCACATCTTACCACGGGATTCTCTTGGTAAATGATCGTTAAGACCAGTGTCACAATAACCTGGAGAAATGGAATTTGCTCTAGCAAAACCAGCCCATTCGATAGCTAAAGATTTGGCAAGATGTTTAACACCAGCTTTGCTGACGTTGTATGGGGTCAAGTTCATAGGAATATTGACAATAGAAGCAGACATGGAGGAAGTAACAATGAAAGAGCCTTTACCATTTTTCTTGAATATTCTGCCAATCGCCTGGGCACAGTAGTAAGCCCCGTTCAAGTTAACATCCATAATATTTTGCCAAGTCTTACCATCTCGGTTAACTTCATCTACAATGTTACCAGTTTTCCAAACTATACCAGCATTAGCGACGAAAACATCAATGGTACCAAATTCCTCTTCGATGGCCTGAATTGTTCCTTCGACTCGTTTTAAATCGGCAACGTCACATTGGAACGCCCTGGTACACACCTTGAGCCTAGTTGCTAACGTGTGAGCTTGCTCTGAGCAGTCGGAGTAATCTACAAGGGCGACAGTAGCACCTGCTTCAGCAAACGTTTCCGCAATCGCAAGGCCGATACCTCTCGCAGCACCGGTGACAACTGCTACTTTACCTTTTAATGACAACAAGTCCATTATGTGTCTTTTTGGTGGCGATGCTCTAGGGAGTTCATCCTTGAATTCGTTGGAAATGTATGAAACCACAGTAGCGTCTCTTTCTCTCTTATCGGGGAGCGTCATTGAGAATATCCAGGGGTATGCTAAAAAGATATCAATTGAATCTGGGGAAAAATGCTTTCAATTTGCTATTAAACAAAATCGACAAATATATAGTTCATTCGCATACGATCAATTTCATACTTCACATGGGAAGCTTCAGTGGAAATAGTTAATTATGGTAATTTATCTTCATAAGTCTAGAGTTTTCTTGGTGGAGGTACCTCCACCCATGCTCAGATAATCGATGCATGGCTGCATAGTTCATGCAGTTTTCAGTGGAGACTGTTCGGTGGAGAGACTATGTTTCGAGGATTAGTAAACAGGATTTAGTCCCTCGAACGTTTGGCTTTACGGTGGAGAAATTACACGATGGAATTAGTTATAGTTGGAGGTGGAGCCTTTTTGCAACTAGATTTTTCCCTTAGAATTTGGGGCATTATTTGGTGCAGAAAAAATATGCACAATCCCCGATACTTGATATACACTCGATTATTCAAATAATGCTTTCGTTCCTTGAGCGAAGTATTAATAGCTCAGATAATTCCTGACTTCTCTCATCTTATTCATCAGTTTTCAATTTTCAATTCTCTACATATTCGTTTGTTTGTATTGAACATTTACCACAGACACAAAAATTCGAAATCTGCAAGTATGTCGAGAGTTTCATCTGAAAAACCTAACTTGTCTAAACTACAACCTCTTGACTCAAAAAATGAAAAGTACTATGTTCAAGATCACATCATCCAAATTGAAGATTCCAAAACCTATATGTATTTGGGCCTCAAAGGTCAAACGTTGCATAACATGATTTCATTTCTCGCTGGTATGGGGTTCTTACTTTTCGGTTACGACCAGGGTGTCATGGGCTCATTGTTGACTTTGCCAGCTTTTAGGAACACATTTGAATCTATAGACACAATTAAATACCCGGAGCACGCTACTTTCCAGGGTTTTGTTATTGCCGTTTATGAAATTGGTTGTTTAGCGGGTGCCGTTTCCACTATGTACTTAGGAGATATACTTGGAAGAAGAAAAACTATTCTCATTGGATGTTGCATTATGATTGTTGGTGCTGTCATCCAGTGTTCCTCGTTCTCCGTTGGTCAATTAATTGCCGGAAGAATTATCACCGGTATTGGTAACGGTATGAATACTTCCACCGTTCCAATATGGCAATCTGAGTGTGCTAAGCCAGAAAAGAGAGGTAAATTAGTTATGATTCAAGGTGCCTTAATCACTGGTGGAATTTGTATTTCGTACTGGATCGATTTTGGTTTCTACTTCATCAAAAATAGTTCTGTTTCATGGAGATTTCCAATTGCGTTCCAAATATTTTTCCCATTATTCATCTTGCCCCTCATCATGCACTTACCTGAATCTCCTAGATGGTTACTTAAAGCCGGTAAATTCGATGAAGCTGCTAAAGTTTTCTCTGCTCTTGATGACATCCCAGTTAATGATCCTACTATTGTTTACGAGGTTCAAGAAATTGAAAACTCTTTACAAAAGGAAAGACACGATGGTGAACAAAAGTCCAAACTTCTTCTTTTATTTGCTCAGGGTGATACCAAAAATTTCCACAGAACTTGCTTGGCCGTCTGGTCGCAAATTATGCAACAAATTACTGGTATTAATTTAATCACCTACTATGCGGGTACTGTATTCGAAAAATATATTGGTTTAAATCCTTTGAACGCGAGAATCCTAGCCGCCTGTAACGGTACTGAATATTTCATGGTTTCTTGGGTTGCATTCTACACGATTGAACGAGTCGGCAGAAGAAAATTGATGTTATTTGGGGCTGCTGGTCAAGCTATGTCTATGGCTGTCTTGACCGGTGCCACCTGGGCTGCTAGTCCAGAACACAATGACAGCGGTGCTGCAGCTATCGTTGCTGCTGTCTTCTTATTCGTCTTCAACAGTTTCTTTGCTATCGGTTGGTTAGGAATGACCTGGTTATACCCAGCTGAAATTACCCCATTAAACATCAGAGCTCCTTCTAACGGTTTAAGTACTGCTGCAAATTGGTCTTTCAATTTTATGGTAGTTATGATCACTCCAGTTGCTTTCGAAAGTATTGATTCCTATACTTATACTATTTTCGCAATAATCAATCTCTTAATGATTCCAGTCGTTTATTTCTTCTATCCAGAAACAGCTGGTAGATCGTTAGAGGAAATGGATAAAGTCTTCGAACTATCCAATCCTTACACTCCTTGGGATGTTGTTAAAATCGCTAGAGAGCTACCTTACGAGAGCCAAACTCGTGACCGTGATATTGAAAAGGTTAATATTCAGCATATTGAATGATTTTTCTCTTGATATCTCTATAGCTTGTACTAATATATGTATAAGTTTATGATCGATATATTTTGTAAAAGACTTGTTTAGTGTATTTTAAATATAAGCAGTATTAATTTAACAATATTTAAGAATATAAGAGTGATTCAGGTATTACTGAATTGCAGAACCTCTTGCATTGGAAAAAGCTTTTTAAAATATGGTAAATATCGAGACAAGAAAAAATATATAATGACAATTAGAAAAAGTAATCAATATTTATCATTAGTAAATAGTTAATTAATAGATAGTCCACAATCTAGTTCAATAAATTATTGATGAAACGTAGGAAGTTTATTAGGGTTATGTTTAGTAATAATTAATTTATGTATAAACATTAATACTTCGTAGTAAATATTACAAATGGGTTATCTATAAAGTTAATGCAGAAATAATCTCGTATATACCATAAGCGCCAGGATCTGGTGGGAAAACAGTTTTGTCAGCTAGTCCACCAACGTAAGTAGCACGTCCAAGTTTTGGTTTCAAGCTTCTTGTCCCTTCAGCAGAATTGTATGCTACTCGAACTGCCTCATTAATATCTTGAGTTTCACTGAAACTATGAACAAATGGAATCAATACATCCATAACAGTTCTGTGACCTTGTCTAGCTTTAGTGTACGCATATAACGTTTCAAGCCCAACTGGCAAAGCAAAGGCAAATAATTGATTAATAGTTAGATTAGAATTTTCTCTTAGGAGTTCTTCAACCTTGTTAATGACAGATTTCATGAATATGAAAATAATAGCACCTAAGGTACCACCCATATCATCTTTTAGAACATTTAATACAACATGCAATACTTTGAGAATTGAACCAGAGGATGTAATTTTATCTTCCTCTAATTTATGTAATACCTTTTCAGCTCCAGTTCTTAAACCATAACCACAATCACCATCGCCCATCTTAGTATCCCAATCAGTTAATTCTGGTTCCTTCTTAATAACTCTTTCAGCAGCAGTACGAACAATTTTACCTAATTTTTCAGGATCAATTCGTAAATCTTGCGATCTTTCTTTAACAGTGTTAGGGGCATCATCGTCGTATCCTACAAAGTTTCTGATGATTCTGTCATTTTTAATGGATTCATTGCCAGTAAATAAAGTGTTTGGCCAACAGGTTGCATTAGTTCGTTCATCCAAGAGTTCGAATATTCTATCAGTCGTAAAAATCTTGGTTGCAGCAGTGGTAACATTGAAAAGAGTAATAGTAAAGATCTGAGCGTTAAAAGAAGTAACGAAGGTGCCTGTGTAAATTCTAGCTGGTATAATATCATATTTTTCTTTTAAGGTTTCTAAAGTGGAGTGTAAGATATTCTTTTCTTCGATAATTGGGATACCACCTAGGTTATTAATTAATAAAACGAATTTATCTCCATTAGAATAATTAAAGAAACCGCGACTTTCATCTTCTTTATTTAGAATCATATCTAACAAAGTAAAAACTAATTCTTCATTACTTGGAATGTAATCTAATTTTTGAGCTCCAGGTTCATTGTGAATACCTAAACCAATTTCCAATTGAGTTTTGCCTAATTTTCCGAATTCAGCATCCATTCTGTGACCAGGAATATGAACATGGTCTAAACCAGCATTAACAGATGCAGTGGAATCAATGACTTTTTGACCAAATTCAAAAACTTCATGTATGTTGTGACCGTTTTGAGAGGCTGCGCCAGTAAGTTTAGATACAATGGTGATACCCGCTAAAGTACGTCTACCAACTAATGAATTAGAACTTTTTTTAATTGCAACATCATCTGTCACTCTAAGAATGCGAATTTTTTCATTGCCATATCTAGCAATTAAGTCTTGAGCAGCCATACCAAAATAAAGATTATCACCAGTATAGTTTGTGATAATGAAGATGCAACCAGCCCATTCATCTGAATCTCCAAGCTCGTGACAAACTTTCTCTGCAGCCTTCACGCTTTTATAATTTGGGGAAGCAAAAATATCACCTTGAGCAGCAGCTGAAAGCATACCTGAACCAACTAAACCATAAAAGCCAGGTTCATGACCAGAACCACCCCCACTGATTAAAGCAACTTTTGAACTATCAAATTCATTGTTGTAAATGACTTTTTCCTTATCTAATAAGGATAGAAATTCATATTCGTATGTGATGGCTCTTAAACAATTTGGAACAAGCTTTCGTGTGTCTGATGGTAAGAAGTGTTTGTGGGACATGTTAAAATTCACAATGCTCAAGCTTGAAAATAGCCACCAACAAGTATCAAAAGAAGTACTGAAAATAAATATTTGAAAGAAAGGCAATAATGAACAAAATATTTCAGTATTTATCCGATCTTAATTAAAAATCTGGTGCAAGTAGAAAGCCTCCACCGACTCTCCACCCAATTTTGCAACCTTTGAGAAAAGTGCTGCATGAAAAAATTATTTAAAAAAGGTGCATGTACCTCCACCCTCCACCATCATGTTTTAACATTTTATCATTCTGCTAAAGTTAGTTTTCAGCAATAGTGGATGGAAGTTCACTAGCACAATTTGTGTTGAATCGAAGAAATTAATCTTGTAGTTTACGTCATTGCATTTCATGGTAGTTACTGCTTGATTGAGAATGATGCAGGCGTCGAATGGTTTAGGTTTGCGTATTTATAAAGTTTGTTGAATTTATTTAAGTATAGTCTAGTTGCCAATTTGACTTTATTCAAGTTATTTTTTGCTCCAGTTATTGCCTTCCCATATCACTACACAGAAAATGAGTACCATTAAATTAAAAATCGTAGTTGGCTGTGACCAAGCAGGTTACGAATACAAGGAACAAATCAAAAGAGATCTTGAATCTAATACGAATGTTGAAAGAGTTATTGATGTAGGCGTTGACTCCAATAGCAGCAAAACTGCTTATCCTTTGATTGGTATTGATGCGGCGGAAAAAGTTGCCAAAGGTGAAGCTCACCGAGCCATCTTAATTTGCGGTACTGGTTTAGGTGTCGCCATTTCTGCTAACAAAGTCAAGGGTATTAGAGCCGTCACTGCTCACGATTCATTCAGTGTTGAAAGAAGTATATTAAGCAACAATTGTCAAGTTTTATGTATGGGCCAAAGAGTTATTGGTTTAGAACTTGCCAGAAGATTGGTTAAAGAGTGGTTGACTTATGCGTTTGATCAAACTAGTGCTTCTGCTAAGAAAGTTACTGCGATCGAAAATTATGAAGGCTGTGCTTAATTTCAACTTCATTTACTAATGTTTCCTAAGACGTCTAGTTCGAGGCCTTGCAAAACCTTCATAAAAACCATAGCAATCACTTCAATATCTGATTGCTAAAATAGTGTGTGAAAAAATTAACAAACATGGTCATAAGTATAAAAATATAACAATATATTGAAAATAAATATGAAAAGCTATATTTTCTCATACGTTATAATAACATGTTCCAATTGCTGGACCAAATCTATCGAGTAGACCCATTTACAATTTCTCAATAGATGTAACACATAACAAACAACTCCAATGGTATTCATTTGTCTTTCTTTAAATTCCTCATAAGCATTTCTACCAATAAAGTCTTGATTATTATTTTTCTCGTCTAGATTATCATCATTCAAGTCACTTTCCAAATCCAAAATCATTGAAAAATATTCCCAAGCATCACTTCTTGATAATTCATAATGAATGTTACCAAGAAGGTCAAAATATTTACTTGCATCCAATTTAATTTTATCACGTTCAACATTGTCATTTCTTTCGCTATTCATCTCAACGTTTCGACAATCTCTCTTAATTTCATAGCACCATACAATTAATGCCGCAAAATATACTGCTTGTGGTATGTGTGAGAATGTATTAATTGTTTCTTCGTTTCCATAAACTAATCTTAAAAATTTACAAGCTTCAACTACTGCAAATTTACCATATATTGATCTTGCCCATTGTTCAATTGTTAGTTTATTTCTTTCATATTCCATTTCTTTGATTCCCTTGTATACTGTTTTGGTAACATAGTGAAAGTTTTTATACTCAGCTGCAAACATTGTTACTGAAGGTATATCTGCATAAAGACAAAATAATCCTGTATAATAAAAGCTAATATTTGCCCATGAAGCATTGGTTGGTCCGTAGTTATTTAAGGATAGTATTGTGCTTATTTGGGGAATGTTTTACATACATGTCTTCATTAGATTCTATCTGTTCTTCATATAATTTAACATGTAAATCAAAATACCTTTTCCAATTTAAAAATGCATTTTCTAATTTTTTAAAAAATTCTCCCAATTTCTTTTTTGATATGAAACCTAAATCTAGAAGACTTTGGCCTCTCATATCCCAGCAAACTCTTAAAAGCCCATGTAAAATAATATATCTTGAAAATAATGAATAACAATCTAATGGATATTCTTTTTGATTTGCTTTATAAGTTGTCATCATGGATTTTAAACCCCACAAAAAAGTTGGCCATTTATTCTCCTTTTTAATTGATTGTTGCAGGCTTGATGTTTTAGAAGCATTGGACATATCAGCCATATCTTTAGGAGCTTTTATATTGAAAAAATCAGTTAAATAATCTTCATTATTTGAAAATTCGGAAGTCCTATTAAAATTAGTATTGTCATTACCATAACCATAAACATTACCATTTTTATTTTCACCATGACTACCATTATTATAAAGATATTCAAGTTCTTTACTATAGGCATATTTGCTTGAGATATCTAATCTTGGCCTTGTGCATAGACCTTTTGGCTGCTTTTGATATTCTTCAAAAAATCTGAGTGAGTCAGCACAATTCCAAATTTCATCACTGCACGGCAATTCTAATTTAATATCAAATGCAGATAAAGATCTTATTTTGCTAAATGTTGCATGTTGGGTATCACATATAAATTCAAAGAAGACGGATCTTTTACAACTCTCGTATTGAATCCAATTTTGCCATTGTTCTGTTAATTCAGTCAAGCTGGAATTTTTTTGTTTATAGACTATGGGCTCCGTCAAATTATTTAAAAATCCACTAAATTTTAAATACATAATATTTGAACCATGATCAATTTGAGCTATTTTGCTTAACTGAGTATCACCAAAATTCTTAGCAGAAAAATTATGTAGAATTAATGCCTGCATTAATGGTAAAGGTAATTCTGTATTATCTTCAACGACGTCATAGATGATTCGTCTTAATTTTTTATTAATCGCAATAGAAGTTTCATATTCTAACTTATCCAACGAATGGGCCATACCAATCACTATTATGCTTATTAGTAAATAAATGTTCATTGTATTAGGATCGAAAGTAGCTTGATGAATTATAGGGAAAGTTTGAGCAAAATTAAACCAATACAAATCCAAGTATTCTTCAAATCTTTTTAATGAAACTTTATTTAATTGATCAACTGAGGAGAAAATATGAATAATTCTTGATCTTGTGGATTCATTCATATTTATTTTATTATTATTAATTTTCGTATTGGTACTCTCATTGTACAAATTTTGATACATGAATGAAGCTACATCATCATGATTATTAAGTGATTTAGAATTCGAATGAGCTTCAGCGAGAAAGTTCGTTGTCGGCTTCAAATCATTGGAATTAGCTAGTTTATTGCCACTTCTACTTTCAGTACCGCTATTTTCCAGTGGGGATATATCACCGAATAACCAAAACAAATTATCTACTGGTTTAATATCATTGAATAGCCATAATAAATCATTATCTATAATTCCAGGAGGAGCATTTGAGTCCATTTCTGAACCACCACCACCAGATATATCATTTCTACCAGGCATGGAAGTATTTGGAGTCGGAACCGAATGATCATGCGAATTTAAATAATGACTATTAGGATTCTGTTGTTGTTTGGCAGAAGTATAAATATTCGAGTCCACTGCTTTTCCTTTCTCTTGTGATTGATTCATAAACATATTTGCAGAATCTATTGAGGAGTTATCATTACAATTACTTGGAATAGCTGGCAAAATGATCGAAGGTTGTGGAGGAGGAGCAGGTATTTTTTCATCATTAAAATGCCGATTTAAAAAATCTGGGATGCCTAACCTTTTAAATTCTTTCATTTCATGTTCTTTATTAAATTGATTGAGCCTGGGTACGTGTTGATTTAATAGAGGATCATTCCTAATTGAAGAAGTTGAGGAATTGACCAGATGACTGCATCTTTTTTCAACCCTATAAGGAGCTTGTTTCGGATTACTGTTGCTACTATTGCCAACGATGCTTTTGCTGCTACCAGAATTAACCGCACTCCGATAACTATCAGTCAATTCATTTTTTACTCTTTGATGTGATTTTGATTTGTAATGCTTTGTAAGTAAGTCACTTCTTGTGAACGATAAATTACATTGGTCGCACTTGAATGGTTTAACTTGAGAATGGTTCTTTTCATGACGATATAAATAATCTTTCCTGGTGAAGCTTTTTGAGCAACTGGGACATACAAACAATTGTGGCTTAGTACTGGTGGCAATGTTTGTAGTCGACATTGACTTTGTTGTCAACTAACGCACTTTCTTATTTTGCGTAGGGGGAATATGGGGGAAACAAAAATACACTTTTGAAATTAAAAAATCATAAACCAAATAGATTTAAGGTTAAAAATAAGCAAATGAATTATTTCAGATGAGACTAAGCAATAAATCAACAGGTGATATCAAACCAACTTAAGTTAATCAATGCTTTACAAAACTATTTTGAAAAGGTTGTCCGAATTTTTTTATATTTCATTTAGTACGATCTCTGAGATTACACATAGAATATTCTCATTAATTTGGCGGACAGCGGAGTCGTACCGCGACCATACGCGGTCTGTTGCACAGAAACCTTGACGTCTGGCGTCTAATTGATCTGGTACATAATCTAAAGAAGTCCTCCTTAATTACACTGTTAATATCTTCATATAGTATCCATGACCAACGAAGACGAACTTACAGTGTACGATGAACCCCGTTCGGCCCGCCAGGAAGAGTTCGATAGCCTCGACACGTCCGTCAAGCTCGAAAGGTTAAACACATTGATCCAGCGGTCGCAGGTGTACTCGCAGATCATGGCAGAGAATATATTGCAGAACACCATGGACAAGAAACAGGCCAGGGGAATAGCCGCTGACACGTCTGAGAATCCTCCTTCTAAGCGTAGAAGGGGTGCAAAACGACAGACAAAGACCCCCAAACACGACGTGGTATCGATGCTTTCGGCACCATCTGCCGAAATGTCTACCCACAAGCAGCCACGGTTGTTCTCGGGAGGCACGCTCAAGGACTACCAGTTGGACGGTATGGAGTGGTTGATCACGTTGTTTGAGAATGGGTTGAATGGGATTTTGGCGGACGAGATGGGGCTCGGGAAGACGATTCAATGCATTGCGTTCTTGACGTTTCTCATGGAAAACGGCATCAAGGGCCCCTTTCTTATTGTGGTGCCGTTGTCGACTATTTCCAACTGGTGCAATGAGGTTAAGCGGTTTGCGCCGTCGCTCAAGGTGTTGAAATACATTGGGTCGAAACAAGAGCGGTCTGACCTCGCTATAAGCCCTGATTATAACATTGTGTTAACTTCGTACGAGATATCGATCAGAGACTTTTCCAAGCTCAACCGCATCAACTGGAAATACCTCATTGTCGATGAGGGTCATAGGTTAAAAAACATGAATTGTACGTTGATCAAGTTCTTGAAAAAACTAAACGTGAATAATAAGCTTTTGATTACGGGTACCCCGTTACAGAATAATCTTGATGAGTTGTGGTCCTTGTTGAACTTTATACTCCCCGATATTTTCCACGACTTGGATCTATTCCAGCAATGGTTCAATTTTGACGAGTTGACCAATTTCCAGCAACAGAATACTGGTAACGATGATGAAACAAACCGATTGATCGAAATGAATATCCAGGAGAGCTTGGTTAAGAATTTGCATACAATTTTGAAGCCGTTTATTCTAAGACGGTTGAAGAGAGATGTAATCCGCAATTTGCCTCCCAAGAAGGAATACATCATCCATATATCTCTCAGCACCTTGCAGAAAAAGTTGTATAATGATGCGTTGAATAATAATTTGTTATTCGGATTACTAGAAGTATACTTAAAGGAGTATATTCACTATAATCATGGCGATTTGTTTGATGGGTCTGAAATCACTAAGTTAATGGAGAAGAAATTAGCGGTGGTACCTATCGAGAAGCGGTCAAAACTTGGATCGTTCAAAGAAGCCGATAGTGATGACGAATTTGATTATATCGAAGAACATCTCGATGACTCGAAACCAGAATTAGATGAGAAGCAAATCGCAAAATTACCCAAGAACAAAAGAAAAGAATACATATTTGATAACTTGTATTATAAGTGTCTCAAACGCTTGAAGCATCTATCCTTACAAAACTTAATTATCCAATTAAGAAATATCTGTAATTCGCCATATATATTCTACGAACCATTTGAACCAAATTCAAATAATGATGGAGAATTTATGGACTTATTATTGCGCAATTCGTCAAAGTTCAAAGTTTTGCAGCAATTGTTGGATAAGTTATTACTGAAGAATCACAAAGTACTTATATTCTCTCAATTTACTAAAGTGCTAGACTTAATAAATGATTGGCTAGTTTACGAGAATGTTGAGATATGCAGACTAGATGGATCGATGAACCAACTGGATAGGGAGGTAGAGATAACGGAATTTAATGCCAAAAATTCGAAACAGCAAGTATTTTTATTATCTACCAGAGCAGGTGGTTTAGGTATTAATTTAACTGCATCGGACACTGTTATTATCTTTGATAATGATTGGAATCCGCAAATCGATTTACAAGCTATTGACAGGGTACATAGAATAGGTCAAACCAAGCCTGTTAAAATTTACCGTTTTCTTATTAAGAACTCAATAGAAGAAATTTTGATTAGTAAATCATATTCTAAGAGGTTTCTTGAGAAAATCATTATACAAATGGGTGAATTTAAGTTTAATAAATTCCAAAAGGTCATAAATGAAAAGAATCTTAATTTTAAGAATTTGGTTAATTTATCGAAAAGTTTTAGAATTAACGGCGAGGTCAAAGAAAACGAATCCGGTGATAATGACTACGATGTGGACGAACGGATAAATGAGAATATGTTGACTGCTGATGAAATGACAGAATTGTTGGATAGAAGTAGCGAATGCTACAGGACAGAAAAGGACTTTGAAAATGTTTCAGTTTTTGAAACTATAAATAATATGGATAAATAAATTGTATAATATTAGTATTAGGTAAGTGTATAAATATAAATAAGTTAAAATATGCAGCTAATTCTGATTATTATTGTGATGGGATATGACTTCGAGGGTCTTATTTCTCCACCTCAAAGCATTCCAAAAAGCACTATAACTCCAAGTTAGATCCTTAGCACCTTGCATATAGCCCGTATATTTGTTGAATTGTTCAGACATATGACCATTTCCATCAACATGGTCTTTTATTATCTTCAAAAAAGAGTCACCAAAGTCAAATAAATTAAGTAACGCATTGTTGTACCGGATGGAATTATATGGAATGACAAATTCTTCTAAATCGTCGGCTTCAAAGTTAATGAATGACTTAAAAAATTCCTGATTATATTCGTTAATCAACAAATCCTGTTGACTATCCAGTAGCTTGTAAATCGTTTTGAAAATAACTTCTGCTGCTGACGCAGTCGCGATAAACCATGGGTTGCCCTCTGATGTCCCAATTCCATCATATATGTCTTCAGGGTATCTACCTAGCGCAACACCAAGTGAAGGTTTTCCTATTCTATCACGGTTTATTGGATACCTAAACCTCATGTCAGAAGCCATTGCATTAATCGTATTTAAAATATGATAATCGTTAACATCAAACGGTACATCAGAGTATTCATCAACTTCAAGGTCATGTGAATGTATACTTGCAAGCAAAGCAGCAGCATCTAGTCCTGATCTTTTACCATTAGAAAATAGGCCTGGTATCTCAATAATATAAAGAGATGAAGGGATAGCAAATCTTGCGTCAACTTCAATAAACAGCTTCAACTTGGTGATAGTTTCATACAATTGGCCAACAAACTGTTTATCTACTTCATATTTCTTGGCTAATTTGAGTCCATCTATAACAGCTCTTAATTGGGACATAGATGTGAAGAAATGAATAGAATTGACTTCTTCCCAAATGTCAAAACTCTCCTTCTTCCAATTTTTAACTATATAAAATAAATCTGGTTTAATGATTTCGTCGTATATAAATCTTTCGTCTTTCAAAAACTTATTAGACAAGCGTAGTCCATACTTTTCCATTAAATTTAGGTAGGAAACAATTGTCGAAATTCTTAATCCTGGTCCATCATTTTGAGGTCTCCCCCAATGCTCATCGAAAGCTGTACAATCAGGCATAAATTTTGGTTCTCCTAAACCTGATCGAGTATTATCATCAAACCTCCCCAGATTATTCGGTAATCTTTGCAAGTGGTAATTATTTTCAATATATTTTTCAATTATGGAACATATCTTCTGGTTCTTAGTATTGTTGTCCTCAAGATAATGAACCAAGGATCGAATTGTTAACGCAGCATCTCTGACCCATTGGTAGAAATAATTTGGTTTATTCTTTGAGGGAGACGCGATGACTGCCCCTTCACTAACCTCCTTTTCTTGTAGGAACTCACTAATGCCTCCAATATTATTCAAAATCCCTTGAAACGAAGTATTTCCTTGTGTTACTAACCATTTTTCATATTCAGATTGTTCTATAATATCAAGTGAATCTACTTTATCGTTATAATTTGGAAATAGATTTAACGATAAGACCTTTTGTACTGCTTGAGCCACACCAGTATTCAAGTAATGGTCATACCCAGGCACATAAAGTCCATAAGTAACGGCAAAATTTGCCATAAGCATCAATATAATCAAGTTTAACTTCATCATTAATATATCGTACCAAGGTCAAGTCAATCAGGTAATCAATATCTCTATAGAGTTCAATTAGGGTGCTAAAAATGCTTCTATTGTTTGTTAGACAGTTGCTAATATTTTCACAAAGATAAGCTTGTGACCTCACTGATATTTTGCACCAATTCAATTTTGTGATCCCGATAAGAAATATTTAATAAATTATCTTGCAAACAGACTCTAATAACATAGGACATACAAAATATAGATACGTATCTATGCTAACGTCTAGTGGCCATTTTGGCTTTATCCGGTGGTAATTTCAGCGTAATTGACAAACTTCTTATGATTATACCAACCAGTGGTCTAGTCAATATAGAATGCATTAATAGCACAGATTAATCCACAAATTTACCGCCAATCCACGAGCCGAACTAAGACTTTGTTTTTTTATGTAAAAGTAACAAACAGAACATATTATGATCTAATTTGACATCTAGTCAAATATTAAGACAAGTATCGAGAGTAACCAATGATTTGGATATAGGCTGTGCAAAGAACGACTTCATACAATCTTGAAATTGTTTGATGTCGTAGCCAGCTTGACAAATGTCGAACATTTGAGAATCAACTTAACATGATCGTAAGTTCTCTAAAGCTGTTGTCTTTTCTTACAGATCTTCAAAGCGTCATAATAAACACATTTCAATTTGCGACATTTAATAATCACGACATTTCATTTTTTAGGATTCAACCACGACATATAATGAAAAAGATACTAAATGAACAATTATTACTTCTCTATTATTGGCATGGAAATATGATACAATCATCGGTTCTATACCTTTTAGGTTCATTGTTATTTATACATGCTGCATATTCATCGTTCGAATTTCACCAATTGTTAAAAACACACACTGAATATGACTATTTACCATTACCAACGGAAATTACAGTCGAAGTTATATTGGCATTAGTTACATTTGTAATCGGATCGATAATATCAATCGAAAATGGACCCAAGTTATCTATTGATAATAAGTTGATTCAACAAGATGATAAGTACTTGAAGAAAATCGAAATGAGGAAAGCTATGAGAGAATTCGAAAAGGTCGGAATAAGTGGGTTTGAAGAATACGACTCTAGAGTCGATTTCATCAACATAAAGCAAAAGAGGAAAGAGTATAGCGATTGGCTTAATAAATAGAAAATTACACTGAAATATTGTGTGCGTTCATAAACAATTATGATTTGCATAGATTATATTATTATATAGTAATATTATGTATCGTTTGTATACTTTGTATACTTTTATATGTAAATTATTCTATAGAGGAGATTGAGCATCATGGTATAAGCTTAAGACTATAATTGCTTCTTTGATTCAGCTTGGGTCTTCATTTTTTGCTCTCTTGAAGATTTACCTTTAGGACCAGCTTCGGTATTTAAAACGAAATCCCACCATCTGAAAGAAGAACTGTAACTTCCAATGAAGTAATGGTGGTGTTCATCGTGATGATCAGCACCAGCCCAGAATGGTAAAAAGTGATGTAATGACCATGGGAATTCGTATCCGGAATGTGAATCAACTGCTTGGAACAATCTCAAGGTGATCCAGATACAAACAGTGAAAAGATGCAAATTCTTAGTGATTAAACACCACACAATTGGAATACCAACAGTACCAAATCCTAATAACATAACTTCAATTGGATGAGCATATTCTGCAGTCAATCCGAATGGAGCAGCGTATCTATGATGTTGTTTATGGATGTACTTGTAGAAGACACCATGGTGTAAGGCTCTATGGAACCAGTAATGCCATGCGTCCTCACATACGAAAAAAACCGCTAATTGGATCATGATAGATGATATATTTGGGAATGGAATCTCGAAACTAATTCCGATTTGTTGACACAATGGATGGAAAAACCAGATAGGAAATGCTTCCACTAAGAAGTGCGATGTTAACACAGACTTCAAACATTCCCACTGTTCCTTGTTCGATGGAATCTTAGCATCTTGAATCTTATATTTGTTGAAATATGGAATTCTGTCAATAATCATCCATGGGATACATCTACCGAAATACATAGCCTCATGCAACGTGAAAAACAACAACCCGGTGGCAAACAAGTCGTTGCCCATGTAGTAATAATATGACCCCCATAATTTTTCCATCCAGTTCAACAGTTCAATTTGGTTGAAATTATTGTAAACTTCGCCAAATGTTGTGGCATTAGAAAACCCAGAGTAATCGTGAAAGACACTAAAAATTGTTAGTAACCTATTGTATTATTTTGCTCCTGATACTTCTTGGTCGTTTCATATCAATTACGCGTATTTATGATACATACCTTGATGACATCCTTAATATCTTCAATTAGTGTTAAAAGATAAATAAAATCTTTTCACTACATTTATATGGGAAAGGAAAAAAAAAGAAACTAACGCGCTAAACGAAGGGAACGAGAATCTAAACGATGCGACTTTTTGTTAGGCTTCACGACATTGCTCTTTAATAGCCGCGACATAATTGCGACACCAGTTTTGTGCCCTCGGTTCACCATATTTCATCTGCCAACAATGCATTATATATTTTGCAAGGTTCTCTTTCTCTCAGATACAAGGATTGAATTAGCGAATCACTATTGATTTATATATTGCATCAGCATCTCATTCCCTACATTATTATCTGGTTATATTCGCCAGTTATGTGTCGGAATTGTGATGGGGAATAAGGATTTGATGCGAGGAGATGCGGTAGATCAATTAAGCGAAGATAACGGGGTATCATCTAATGTAGTACGGCTATAAGATATTTTGCTGGTCATTATCACCAGACTTATCTCTCATAAGATAGTGAGTGGTTGGAGTATTCTCTCTATATTACCTCGTTCTTTGTTCATTTTTCCTAGGGCATTGCGTGAGTGATGAGTGTGAATTGTATTAAGCATATTGACAGAAACAACGGAACTTTTTCGGAAGAGCGGACCGAGATAAAAAAAAATTAGGTGTTAGTCACACTAGCTATATTTCTTCTAAGCAAGGAAAAGATGGAGACCAGTACATTTTGATGTCCACCTTGTGGGGATGTAGAAAGACGAAGCGTGCATGTAGTAGTGGTTGGTAGAATTAATATAATATTTAAAATCAGCAAGCTTAAAAATGTGGTTCAGCCGGACATGAAGTCTTCAGGCCGCGCAGACGAAACTGATTTCTATAAAGTTGACTTCTTTTCTTTATAGAAGGCGGAAGTAGAACAAATAGAATAAACATGTCCTCGTCAAGTGACCTAACGAATAAGGACAGTTCGTTCTTGCAGGAGAACTCCAACTATGGTGAACCTAATAAACTAGATAGACTCGAACTGAAGAGCGTAAATCTGTGGGCATCATCGTTAAACTCGAGTCGAGAAGGGTCTCCTCTCAGGGAGCCACTAGCATACGACAATGATGTACATGATTCGAATTCAAGAATCAGGAGAAGGTCTAGTATAGGAAATAAATCGGATAGAGGAAGATCGCATTCACTTGTTACTCTAGGGGCTGATTATTTACAATCTGGGGGAAGCCAACATAGCTTGAGTAGGTATTCTACTAGTTACTCCGTTAAGGATATTTATGGTGACATGCCTGAGGAGGATATAATGATCCAAAGGACTGCGACAAAGTCCACTATTTTAAATTCTCTCTCAAAAAGAGTTGAGAACGCTAATGTTGAAGCGGAAAGAGGTGAAAATTTGGACAAAGAAAGCAAAGTGGAAGAGCATGTTTCAGAAGAAGATAGATTATATCAGGAAGTTCCAGATATTCCTGTGCCCACCACAAAGTTTGGGGGTGAGTTCAGCAGTATTGATCCTGAGCTAGTTACGTGGGATGGTACAGATGATCCTGAATACCCAAGAAATTGGTCTGTTGGATCAAAGATTTTGCAAACAGCTATAGTGTCTATTTACACTTTGGTTCCTCCAATGTCATCATCAGTTTGTTCACCGGCGATGCCTTATATCGCTGAAAGCCTTGGAATGAGCTCCCAATTCATTCAATCATTTTCTGTTTCAATTATGGTTTTAGCATGGGCTTTGGGCCCAATTATCATCGCCCCTTTGTCTGAATCTGACAAAATTGGTAGGCGATGGGTCCTAAACATCTCTGTTTGGATCAGTTTTATTTTTAATCTCGCATGTGCCTATGCAAAAACAACAACACAATTATGTGTTTTTAGATTCTTAGGAGGTCTTGGGGGAGCAGCTCCGTTAAATGTTGGGGCCGGTACCATTGCCGATTTGTGGGACGATAGAGGGAGACAATTCGCAATGGCTGCATATTCCGTAAGTCCTACATTAGGACCTGTAATTTCGCCAATTATGTCGGGCTTCGTTGTTCAAAACACACATTGGAAATGGGTGTTTCTTGTTTTGGCGATATTAAATGGTATTGTCGCTGCTGTTGGCACATTATTATTCAAAGAGACATACTCACCGAAATTACTAAGCCTTAAGGCTAAGAAGTTGAGAAAAGAGACAGGTAATAGTCATTTACATACAATTTTCGAAATTGCTAACGGTGAAACTACATCTGAAAAAGTAATGAGCACCGTTGCAAGGCCTTTACAGCTACTCTTTTCTCATCCAATGTGTTTTGGTTTAGGATCGTTCATGGCCTTTATTTACGGTTTCATGTATTTGATGGTCGTTACATTCCCAAGTGTATTTGAACGCAATTATGGATTCTCGGTTGGTATTTCTGGTTTAATGTTCTTGCCAATGGGAATTGGTTATATTATTGGTATTGCATTCTGGACATGGCTTATTGACTATTTTTATATCAAATTAACGGAAAAGAATAATGGGGTGAGTAAACCAGAATACCGGTTACCATGCTTGTGCTTCGCAGGGATTGGTATACCAATTGGTCTTGTGTGGTATGGCTGGTCAGCCGAGAAAAAAATACATTGGATAATGCCGGCAATTGGAAGTGCCATATTTGCATTCTCGTACATTCCTGTGTTCCAGACGATCCAGAATTATTTGATTGATATGAACACCCGTCTTTCAGCGTCGTCTATTGCGTCTTGTTCGATTTATAGGTCGGTCTTTGGGTTCGCCTTGCCACTTGCTGCTAACCCAATGTACGAAAAACTAAACTATGGCTGGGGTAATACTATGTGTGCGTTCATTGCATTTGCCTTGGGAATACCTTTCCCAATATTCTGTCTTATGTACGGTGAAAGGCTCAGGGACTGGGCCAATAGAAGACTCGATAAGAAGCAAGCAGCTAGGGATGCTAGAAACTTGAAGAGATTGCAACAGCAAAACGACAAGGAATTTGCTAAAATGGATAGGTCTCAACCTATAACTGACTCGTCATTCCTGAAGATGGACTAGAGAACTGTAGATCACCAGCATGTTTCGACTTGTCATACCAAACATGGCTCGCATTATGTAAATAATTCATCCGTATACATAATAAATACAATTATACATATATATTAATCTTTATCATTCCTTATGTATTTGTTCGTCTACAACCAGATAACTGGGAATTGCTCTCTCCCACCTATGATCTAGCATGCCCGGGTTCATTTAATATTTTTTCGAATTTATTCGAATTGTTCCCACCCATTCACACTTTAGCACCCCCGGATTCCAAAACAACATACCGATTATAGTCTAGCCCCACGTTATTATTACGGAGTTTCAATTGCGGACTAAAAGTCCGCAATCATATACATCTTCGTATCGTACCTGAGTCGGACTCGTAGTTCCTGAGTGGCCGATTGACAACTATAGTTCTATTGTTCATACTTTCTAATTGCACACCATACATCTCCGGGGTCCACAAACACCAATCCAACCTATGAATACTCACGGACCTTATCTTCCACTTGTAGTCTCTCCTGCTCCTATTGTATCTGTTCCGGAGTTCTAGGGTACTCCGGCCTAGATAACCTTCCCGGAAGTTACCGCTTTGGGAGTGGTATCAAGTATTTTCTAAATTTTAACGTTGTTCTGTGCGTTATGCAACATTTTTTAAAATCCATATCAGCACCGGAGTCAGATCCTTGAACCTTGGCCTAATGCGGAAGACACACTCCTGGGCTATACCCTGACAAGTGGTAACGTCCTTCCTATACACAGTTCAACTCCCGGTACCGTTATGCTCCGATGCTCACCATCCAATAAAAACAGAGCCGCACCGGCCGTGTTCTTTACATAAACTATCGGCCATCGCTGACATCAGCACCTGCTCCTGGTTTTGATCATCTATTCTTCTTGAAACTTTTATTGTGCACCCTCTCACCGCCCTACAAACAACAATCTGTGTTCGTAAGTATTGCACAGGAACAATCTCAACCAATTCTAGCCGTAGTTGATTCCAATTCAGGCCGTGGTTCAGTACCTTCACCTGCTTCACCGCACCAACTCTTGTCGCAATTGTCTCCCAGCCGCCTTCATTTCTTAAAATCGCAATAATTACCTCCTAGAGCCCCTAATTATTATATTTACGTGATCTCTTATCTACAATGTGGTGTCTTTATGACAACAACACCGTGGTTGATGCTGGTGTTTGCTGAAACCAGGACCCGGAGTTCTATGCAAGCATTACAAAATTCTTCGCTTGTTACGTAATGCCCAACGTATTCCTGTACCGTACTATTTAACTATGTCATAGTAGCAACATTTTATATCAATAACCGGGTATAGCTATTCACTCCTACATCATTCCTACGTAATCGTGTAGCCTATACTACGTAATCCCAGGCTACATACTAGATATGGTTGGGTATGTTGTGCATTTCAACTAACCATTTGAGCGTATCATCTATGCAACAATACTCGGAAAAAAAAAATGACATCGTCATTAACCGTGCGACCGTTTCTTTTCTGTGTATACATTAGTACTAACTAAATTTAGTATGTTCGATGTTCGATATGGTCATCGTTTCTTTTGCGGCCGCCTTTAATTTTTTATACCGTTGGTCATAATTAAATCCGGGGTATCAGATTATATATAAATGGACCATATCCACAAGGAAGCAGATTTTATTGATAGGTAGTTATACAGTTACAAATAAAATAAATAGAACTAGGAAAATGGATTACTCATACGATAATGTTGTTCCAAGCTTTAGATTAGATGGTAGATTAGCCATCTTGACCGGTGGATCTGGAGGATTGGCTGCTGTGGTGTCTCGAGCATTATTGGCTCAGGGAGCACAAATTGCTTTGCTTGATATGAATTTAGAAAGAACCAAGGCTGCTGCAAAGGAGTTGGAAGCATGGGGACAGGAATCATTGAAGGGTGCGCACGAAAGCCCAGTGGGAGCTGTTTCCGCATGGTCTTGTAATATTGGGGATTTTGAACAGGTAGAAGAATGCTTTAAGAATATCAATGAACACCACGATATGGTAGCTGATTTGTTGATCAATACTGCAGGTTACTGTGAGAATTTCCCAGCTGAAGAATACCCATCTGCCAATGCTGAAGGTATTTTGAAAGTCAATGGATTGGGTGCATTCTACGTAGCACAAGCGTTTGCCCGTCCATTGATCAGCAGCAACAAGAAGGGATCCATCATTTTAGTTGGGTCGATGTCTGGAACTATTGTGAACGACCCACAGCCACAATGTATGTACAATATGTCTAAGGCCGGTGTGATTCACTTGACCAGATCATTAGCTTGTGAATGGGCCAAATTCAACATCAGAGTTAACACTTTGAGTCCTGGATATATCTTGACCCCATTGACCAGAAACGTCATTTCTGGTCATTCCGATATGAAGGAAGCATGGGAATCAAAGGTCCCAATGAAGAGAATGGCTGAACCAAAGGAGTTTGTTGGTTCGATCTTGTACTTGGCCAGCGAGTCTGCTTCTAGTTACACTACAGGTCACAACTTGGTTGTTGATGGTGGCTACGAATGCTGGTAGATTTTTATAATGACTATGTTTTAGTTTTTCTATTGTATATTATTTTATGGTTTATTCCTATTAATAACTACTTCCAAATTGCATAATAAAGATACATATATATATTACTGATAAAGATACATATTTATTAATCTTTGTAAACCATCTGGGTGTCTGTACTGGTGACGAGTATAATCATACTGTTACTGTTGTTGAGTTTTCCAGATTTGTTTTTCCGCAAAATGGTTACCGTAATTACCGGCGAGAGTAGATTCCCATACATGACTATAGAGCCAGAACAATAATAACTTTTATATCCCGGGATAGGACTCTTTACTCTGCACGAAGTATGCAAGAGACACTTATTACATGAACTAGATTAATGGCATGATACCAAAATCCGATCACCAGCATTATATCTTTAGCCACGTAGACAGATTGTTCGTTGACAACAAATGATGATTGAAGCATTTCGTATTATGTTTATATGAGTTTTTCAGTTCATCGACTCGTTATTTTCTGTATTTGGTTGCTCCACAAGTTTGGAATTTTCCCACATTTTCATTAATGACTTCTTAAAATTGCTTACATTGTAATCTATTATAGTCATTAAACTATCCAATGAAAGATCACTATTATTCTCATCATGCCTTACCAATGCTACCAATGCTAATCCTCTGATCATCTGCTTCAAGTAAAGTAACGACCCGTTCGATAAATGAGATATCGACTTTAGCTCTTGTTTCTTAACGACTGTCTCATTGTCATTCTTTGAATTTTCATTTTCAATGTAAAGGTCATCCAAATCAATAGTTATATCAATGAACTCTGCACACACTTCGTAGGTTTGAATGTCAACGGGAGATGAGTCAGTTGCTACGTAAATCTTTGAGTTAACATCAAAAATAAAGATCTTATCAATCGAAGAATGTTGCACTAAATTATCCAACATATTTTCCAATGATGGCAACTCATTAATCAACTTTTGTACTATTCTGGAAAATGCTTCATATATAGAATGATCAAAAATAGATGTTAAATAAAATGAAACTTGAACACCCTCCAATCCTAAATCTAATAGTTCATCTCCAATCCTCTGCATTATATCTCTTTGCGCATCAATTCTATAATCTTCCGATAAGCCGTCAATCTTATGGATCAATACTTCAATGTTGATTTTTGGATTCACCTTGTATGCGTATTCGATAATTATAGACAAATTTGTAAGTGCATTTAAATATTCATCCTGTGAGTCGATAACGTAAACCAATGCTCCTACACTTGAAAATAATCTTTCTGAATCGTAATTCGGTTCAAAGTAATTTAGCTGGCCCGGTAATTCCATGACTGACAAATCAATTAACAGCGAAAATTGTTCTGTGGTTGGTTTCGATGTACTTTCTAAGTACAATGTATCCAAGGGCTGCATGTTATGGAAAACGACCTTACATATTGACGATTTTCCTCCTCTACGTAACCCCATTAATAAAATAGTAGCATTACTATCCTTTGGATTTGGTAATATAGTCGCTTCCATATTAATTATAGTACAAGCGTCTATTCTATATTTACTTATCTTTGCTTTTAATTATCTTTTATTTTATCTTTGATGGATTCACGCAAAAATGAATTTGATTGAATACACGCTTTTTTCTATTACTGCAATTACTATTGATTGCCCTATATTTCAAAGCCTATTTAACGAGATATTACTCATAAACAGTTGGGACGTAGTTTTCTTTCCTAGAAAATTTACAATTAGACATTAATTATATGACTTTTATAGCGGAGTTGACTGCTAGTACCAATTTCTCCCTTGGTATTTGCAATCCTAACTTATAAACGTACTTATATATTAGCAGTCCTTTAAACTCATGGTCTCAAACGTCTTGGATCTCTTGGGAATAAAGATGCACGACGAATATTTTTCAAATCTAAGAAGAACATAACAACTCTTTCTAAACCAATACCACCACCGGCATGTGGAGGACAGCCATAGGTGAAAGCATCTACATATTCATCTAAACCAGGAGCACTTGGGTCAATTTCATGAGCATTCATTCTTTCCTTCAAGAGAGCAGGATCGTGAATACGTTGAGCACCAGATAAGATCTCTTCACCTCTCATGAAGAAATCATAGGAGTTGGAGTATCTTGGATCTTCACTATCGGGCATAGTGTAAAATGGTCTGATTGCCAATGGGAATTTGTCTAAGATATAGAAATCGGTGTTATATTTTTCTCTAACCAATTTACCCAACAATTTTTCGTTTTCAGTTGATAAATCTTCAAAGTCATCGACTTCTTTACCAGCTTCTCTTAACATAGCAATACCTTCCTTAAAGTGAAGTCTGACCATTTTTCCGTCTTCTGGAAGCTTGAATTCTTCAACAGGATATTGCTTTCTAACAGTAGCAATTTCCTTGGTATATCTGTTCTTCAATTCGGTAAAAATAAAAACGAACAAGTCAGATAAAACATCAATGACTTCATCATAATGTTCTTCGAATGCCATTTCCAAATCTAACCCAGTGAATTCAGTCATATGACGATGAGTGTTGGAATTTTCTGCTCTGAAAACTGGAGCAACTTCGTAAACCTTTTCAAAATCAGCAGCAATCAATTGTTGTTTATATAATTGAGGGGATTGTGCCAAGTATGCCTTACCTTTGAAATAAGAAATCTCAAACACATTTGAGCCACCTTCCGATGGTGCAGCAATAATCTTAGGAGTATGAATTTCAGTGAAACCTTTTGTAGATAAAAATTCTCTGAATAACTGACAAACAGCAGCCTGAATTTTAAAAATGGCTTGGTTAGTTGGTGTTCTCAAGTCAATCACTCTGGCATCTAACCTAGTATCTAAATTGACAACTGGTAATCCAGCTGCTTCTGCTTCTGCTTCTGATCTGGTAGCATCTTCGATTAAAACAGGTAATTGCTCTGGAGTTTCCACAATTGTGTAGATCTTGGTGACATGCACTTCTGCATCTTGGACAGTTGCAGATTTGATTTCTTCTTCAACCTTTCTGACAACACCATGGACGACGACAATCGATTCTAAATTAATAGATCCAACCCACTTAACCATTTGTTTGGAAATAGATTCACCATTAGCTTTAATTAAGGCTTGAATTAAATTATCTTGTTGTCTTAAAGTGATAAATGCCATAGTGGCACCCTGTTGTCTTGATGTATGGGCTCTAGCTCTAAAAACAACTTCTTCACCATCGTTGGCAGCAGATAAGTCCTTAATGTTGACTCTGGTGGTACCAGTCTTGTAAGAAGAATTAATCATTGGCAACTTACCATAATTTTCCTTAGCTGGATCATTGGCAGCTTTGGCCTCTCTTTCAGCCTTTTCTTTAGCCAATTGTTCTTCTCTTTCAGCCTTCTTACGTGCTTTTTCCTTTTCCTTTTCCAATTTCTTTAATGCCTTCTTGGATAATGGTTGGCCATCTTCACCTAAAGGAACATCAGCACCAGCTTCAGCTGTTGGTGTTTCTGTAGCCTTTGATTCTTCAATATTTAAATTTTCCAATTTCTCTGTAGCTTCAGACATTTCAGGTGTAAATTGTCTTCGTTCCTAACAATAGTTTTACTTAGTCCTTAACCTTGTTGAAGTGAAAAATACCGTTCAAAAAGTTTTAGGCAAATTAGTCATTGATTATCTAATATACACTACTTCTATAACATAATCTTGGTCTATATTACACTATTTACAGAATATATTCAACCGGCCTATTGGTAGAGGATGTAGTTTATTGTTTTTGTTCATTATGATTCTTTGGTTGTTCACTGGAAAGTTTTTCTTTCTTCTTTTGCTCTTTTAAGGCACGTACCTCTTCCCTTCTGGCTAATCCTTCCTTCATTTTTCTGATCTTTCTTTCTTCCTTAGTCTCTACTTCCGAAATTGGACTTTGCAAAGTATTTAAACTTTCAATGGCTTTATACAACGCATCTAATTTCTTGAAATTTTCCTTAAATCTGTCTTCAGATAATTTTGTAACAATACGTAGGTAATCTTCAGATACGAATGAGATCAATTCCTGATTCATTTCATTTAAGAAACCAATGGGCACATCTAGCTTAATAGATATCCTTATCCCAACAATATTATTCGTGCCAATTCCCGATTCTCTAAAACCACAGCTCATAGCAGCCGAATATAACTTATTAGCCATTTCCAAGTCTCTACATTTAACATGCAAGATTAACGGTTCGAACTTATACAAAATGTAACGTGTATTGACATTTGTAGATGCATATGAGCTTCCTTCAGTGATATACTTGAAGTCAACTGAACTGAACCAGTCAGGCAAGTCTTTGGGATCATGAGTGACAAATATCCAACGACCGTAGTTTCCTTTGGCTCCAATTTTGATGTCATCCTGGTCAATATTCTTCACCCCTTCAAGAAAGACTGAGACTCTTCCTGAGCATGATGAGGTGGTTACCATGTCTTTATTAGAATTAATCAAATGTATTATCGGTGTGCAAAACTCATCGATAGTACCCTTAGGTGATGCGTCCGGTGTAATCTCATCTGTTGCACCTATTTCAGCAAGAATGGATTTCTTCTTTTGATCGAAGGGGTCTTGCATTCTTAATATAAGGCGCAGTTTCTAGTCACAGATAAGTATAAGCCAAATTATAGAAATCTACAAAAAAGTCTTCACAGAACTATCGCGATACAAAAAAATACTTATATTATGCGTGAGATCTCTATTTTAAAGCTAGTAAGAATTTCTTCTCATCATCAGAACTAAGATTGAACAAAGTCTTTACTACAGGTAATAATTGGTCTCTTTGATCCTTATGTTCGAAAAATCCAAGAAGGACATTTTTTAAGTATGCAACGTTCGTTTGGTTCGAAGATTCGGAGCTTGAATCGTCAGCTGAATGTCTACTTGAAGTGGACGGTGATTTTGTCAATGATTCAGAAGATTGCGCATGGCTTTGAATTGGAGAATCATTGGATGACTTAATTTGTTTATACTGCTGAGTAAGAATCTTATAATTTTTTGACAACCTTTCAAATTTCAAATTAGACTCTTCGTTTAATTTTTTTAAAATATTGTTTAGGTTTTCAAAGTCCTTGACTTTTTTTGAAGAAGCTTGTAATGAGTTCCTTAAAGTTTCAATTGTCTGTTGAGTTTCTTCGAAATTTTCATCCTTATCCGAAATAGTATTCTTATTCTTCAGCTTCTCTGATTCCAACTCCTCGTACTGTTGCTTTAACTCATTACATTTATTTTCTAAATCTTGGATCTTCAATAAATAGTTATCCGTAATCGATTTAAATTCGTCGATTTCTCTTTGTTTTTTCTTAATCAATGCCTGGCAGTTATTTTCAATCTCACTTTTTTCTTTACTTATTTTTGTGAGTTCACTTTTAAAATCGTGATTTTTCAACTTAAGTTGTTCTTCTGCATCTACTAACATACGCCTTATAGTGGATGATTCTCTTGTTCTCTCCTGTAACATTGTTCTGGACTCGTTAAGTTCGTCCTCAAGGTTGTCAATTCTCAACAATGATTCTTTTGACTTCATAGAAAGTTCTTCATATTGCTGTCTAAATGTTTGGATAGAATTACTTGAGCTAGTCTTATCCTTCACCAAAGAATCGTGTTTGTCTTTCATAGTTTCTAATTCTGTTGAAAGTTTTTGTTTCTCCGATTGAAGTTTCAATAATTCATTATTCAAAGAATTATTCTTCTCGAATGATAATTCTTGCTTAGTAACTAATGTATTCTTTTCTGAAACCAAATCCTTATTACTATTTTGTAGCTCGTTATTCGATGTTTTTAATTTAGATATAGATCCTGATAATTCTTCGTTCAGTTTGTTCAATGCATCGATTTTTTTCTTAAAATCTTCGATTAATTGATCTTTATGGCTAATAGATGTTTTTAATGATGCAATCTCTAATTTGAGGGAAGTATCATTACTTTTGAATTCCGACAATTCTTTTATTCTTTTATTCAAATCGTTTTTTTCTTGCTTAACTATTTCAAATTGTTTATTAGTATCTTCGAACTTAGATGTTAAAGCTGAATGCTTTTTATTCAATGCATCATAGTCTCCTTTATTCAGTCTTTGAGATAAATCATTATCTTCAATGCTCTTCAAATGCTTTCCGATCTCATTCTCAAGATCAGAATTCTTTTCCTTACTAGCTTTCAAGTCTTTTGTTAATTCACGTAAACTATTCTCTAGTTTTTGTTTTTCGTCCCTAACAGTATTCAATGACTCTTCATTGGAAGAATTATTATCTTCGATCGATTTCAAAAGTTCTTCCTTAGATTTTTCTACGTCTTCTTTCGATTTATTTAATTCTTTGAATTTAGCCTGCATTTCCGTTAATTCTTTTTTCAAGCCTCCATCATTATTAAGCTTTACTGATTTAGACTTTGCTTTCAATTCTTTGATTTCATCTCTTGCTTGAACTAAGTCATCGCCAATAGTTTTCAACAGGTCCCTTAAATGATCAACGTCTTCGATCTTAAGTTTTAAGTCTGATTTAGCTTTCTTATGATTTGTTATTAATTCATCATGTTCCTGAACAAGCTTATCATATTTCTCTTTAGTTCGTTTTAATTCATCTGATATTTCTTGCTTACTAGAATCGATTTCCTTCAAGCAAGATTGGATCCGTTCGTTTTCCTTCTTTAATTCATCATATTTGTTTCGCATATCCTCAGATTCAGCCGCCAATCCTTGTTCAGCTTCCTTGTTCATTGTTATCTGTTTTTCTGCAGTCGAGGTTTTCTTCCCACCCTTCTTATTCTTCTTCTTATTCTTTTTGTTATTTGAAGATGGTGTAGCTGGAGTTGTCACTTCGATTTCTTGCCCAGCATTGAATTGATTTTGTTCTAATTCTTTTATTATCTTGTTTTTTTCATCCAACTGATTTGACAAATCACTAGCCCTTTCATTCAACACTTGAGCCTCAGAATTCAAAGTTTCAATCGATTTATTCGTGTTATTAAGATCGTTTTGTATCGCACCCGATTTATCTTTAAATCTTTCAAGTTCCATATTTTTGTTCTCTATTTCAGTCTCTAATGTATTATTGACATCTTCTAATTCTGCCACTTGTTTCTTGTACTCTTCTAATTTAGTCTTCAATCCTGTTGTCTCATTGTCATTCTCTGACGTATCGTTTAATTTCTTCAAGTCCTTCTCCAATGAGTTAGATTTTTCGATTGCAGCGCTTAATTCATCCTTAATATTTCTTGATGAAAATTCAGATTTCTTTAATTTATCCTTTACACTTTCAATTTCTTTCTTATAAGATTCAATATCTTTCTTATAGCCGTCAACTTCTTCTGATTGTTTAGTTTGTCTATCGTCTGTCTCTTCCTCCTTCTCATTTTCTCTTCCTTTCTCTTCTACAGGTTTGTCTTCAGCTTGCTTCTTTTCTAATTTCTCTTTCAAATCCGATATGGTATTTCTGAGTTTCTCAATTTCATCGTCTGAATCCTGAGACGATATGCCTTCATTTTCGGGTTCTTTATCTTTTTCTAGCGCTTCCTTCAATCGAATTTCAACATCCTTTAATTTTTCATTCAAGATGGAGTTTTCTTTTGCATATTTTCTCATCTCTTCATTTAACATTGTAGTCTTCTCATTAATGCCATTTAGATATTCTACTAATAAGCCTGCATCGGAAATACTCGAAATTGGTGTGTTTTCTTGCAATACTTTCTCAAACGATACAGTTAACTCGGCTTTTCTCTTTTCTGTTTTAAATGCTTCTAATAAAATGGGATATTTCTCCTCATATTTAGCGAACTTTTTCATCTTGGATCTAATAGATGGAGGTAACTCTGCTAGATCGATAGTTTGGTTCTTCGTAGGATCGGTCTTGTTATCTGCGAGTGATGGAGACAGGCTTTTGGATATTGGTTCATCTTCTGGCTGTGTTAAGTCTTTTGCATCGGGTGTTTTTGTATTCAATACTTTAGATTCATTCTTCAATTCGTTAATAGGATTCTTGAGTCGGCTCGGCGTGTGTACATTTCCGTTGGTACCGTCATGATTAATATCGTTGAAGCTCTTAGCAACATCTTCAGAAAAGTTTTTTAGTTTAGTGAACATAGTGTATATTCACCGCTTTTAGAAGCTCTTAGCAATTGATCTAAAAATATTATTATAATAATTCATTTAGTATTAAGATTATGATTTGAGCCTGAGATCATAGGCGCAAAACAGATCCTACACGTGAGATTGAGATACATTGTCATTAAATAAATTACTATGTCCATACCCATTCATATACAAGTAATACCACAAAGTATATACTAACTAGTGTTTCCCGAAGGAAAAGGTTCCCGATGAATATTTCTGATTTTTTACAGCATTGTTACCATGGACATTTATCCTAGGTTCCAAATTTAAGGACAATTGATATTGTTCCTCTATAGTTGGGCATTTGTCAAACCAAGAAAGAAGATATTCCTGAACATCGGCAACTTCTTGTAAATTATAAGCAGTGCTTTTGAATCTATCAATGCCAGTTACAATTTCACAAGTTTTCGCACGCTTGGCAAAATTAATCATTCTGGATCTATTCATTAAATAGTCAGGATTACCATGGTAAACGAATGTTAAATCACTTAAATAGACACCGAAAAATGGAACACAAGGCTCTGACCCGACAAATTTTAACACATCTCTATATTCATTGAAATTCCGTGAAGAATTCATCAACTTATTCATATTCCTTAAATTGGTCAAGGCTTCAGCAGGAACATGCTTCCATGTCCTATTCAATCTATGGATAGGAGAAGAATATAATGCTGAAATAATAGCAGTCATTGAAGAAAAATTATTGTACTGTTTACATTTTTCTGCAACTTGAACGAAATAGGTCATTATATGAACTCTCTTCTTTACATCTTGTTTTCTCAATATCATGTATGCCACGAAATTGGTTAATTGATTAGATGTCTTAATAAAGTTTGTGATGCTCAGAATGTCTTCGTGGAGTCCTGATTTGTTTCCCCAAACTTTGGTCAAGCATTCAAATTTCGTTATCTTGGTATACAATTTAAATTCTTTTATAGTTAATTGTCTTGCAAGTTCAATATAGTCGATATCTAATAATTTTGTCTTTTTCATTGCGTAACCTTTAATTAACGGCGGTGGAGGTTTCGAGGTAGGAGGACTTGGCTCTTGTCCAAAACATAACTTCTCATGATTCAATAAACTTTGTAAATGACTCTGCAAAACCTTACTGACAGAAAATAGTTTAATCTGAGGACCCTGAACAAATGATAGCCACTTACGAAGCATAGTCTCGTCGTAGTATGAATTGGCCCAATATCTTTCTATCAACAATTTCATAACATTCATCACTCTTAATCTAATTGGACTTTGCTTTTTAGAGATCCAAGTATTATATTCCTCGTAGCTTAATCCCTCTGGAGCTTCCAAGTTGAATCTATTTATAAGCATGTCTACAAATTCATCTATTGGCATCATTGTCGCAAAAGTCAATAAAAAGGCACTATTGAAATTACTATCGAAGTAATCATGATGTGTCAAATGCGCTATTAACGCCTGCTTTGTACCACCTTTAATATTTCCTTTAATATCTAACAAAAGATCATATTCATCATCCCCCTCTAAGTACCAAGGAGCATCTGATTGTTTTTTACCTGCATAATACGCTTGGCCTTCGTCTGACTTTTCTGATAGAACGGTATTATTTCTTTCCATCAATAATAATTGAACATTCAAGTCATTGTGCATAACTCTTGTGGCATAATTTAATATTGACTCTCTCTCTTCAATTAACAGTTGAATGATCGGCAAAAGTGATTCAAATAATCTAAGGCCATCAGTTAAATATGTATACATCAAAGAATCACAATTTAGCGAAATTGATTTCCCTTTAACATTATTGTTTTGTTCCATTAATATATTAGTTAACAATATCGCTGCCTTTTCGTTTGGAATTTTTAGAATATCACGATCATAATACAACGGATCCTCTTGTTTAATTCCTTTAAAAACATCCGGGTCTTCAAGGGTCAAAGATTGCGTTGCCATTACAATCCTTGAAATTATATCATGAAGCTGTTGTTTCAGTTGAAAGAATTCAAGAACTACTGGATAATCAAAGGTTAAATTACTGGTAATTTCTGACTCAGATTCTGGTTGTGAAGCTTTAAATTCACTCATTACTTTATCAGCATCGTCTTCGGACGAAGCATATCTATGAATCAAACAAAAGACCGTAAAATCAAATGATTCAATCATATCTACCATCAGACTTGCAAAATATAAATATTTGTATATAAGCCTGAGAATATGGGTATTTCTTTCATTTTTCAAAACCAAATTGTAATATAAATGTTGTCTTTTGGGATCGATGTATTCAAATGTTTCCTCACTTAATTTAACCATCTCTTCAGTATAGCTTCTGATAGTTTCAAATGCATCAAGATCTATAATTATTTTCAGATGGTATCTGTTCTTTAATTCATCACCACTAGCATTTAAAACCGTATTCTTACTCTCAAAAAACGGATTGCACCAATTTCCACCATTAAATTCGTCCACGATAAATCTAGGATATACTTGGGGTAAAATATCATAACGATCCTCTCCTTCATCGCCAGAAGGATCAGATCCATCATAATCGCTCTTTTTAACTCTTTTGCCAATACTTAATTTTTGAAATACCTTTATCAATCCGTTCATATCATGCTTCAAGTTATCAATCTCAAATTCAATTTGCTGCAAATATGAAATAAAACTGCTATCACTCCTCGATAATTTCTTAGACGATTTGTTAGAATCGAAGTAATGGTCTTCCGGATCTTGTTTTATGGTTGAAATGGATGATGTGGGGCTGTCTTGAGCTGTGCTTGCTGCTCTAGCTTTAAATTTGGAAAGATTGAAGCTAAATAATTTTGATTCTGGCACATTCCTATCATAATACATTACACTCAAATGTAAAAGTCCATTTGAATATATTTGCGAATAAGAGCTCAATATTCTTTTCAATTTTCTTCTTATTGATTTTTCGTATTTCGATCCAACAAAATCTTCCTGTACTAATCTTGTACCGCTTACAACAAACGATATGATTTTATTCAATCTCGAGAAATGGGTGCTGAACAATTGCTTATCGTAATCCCTTAATGCCTTGTAGGATAGATTCAAAAAGTACTGGAACTTTTCCCTTAATTCACTCCAAGACCTTAAATCACTGGGTTGATAATAGAATAAGTCGTCCATACAAAACAATGGTTGGGAGAAATGATGGTATGCACTGGCCGAAGTGCTTTGAGAATTTACAGATGATGCATTGGATTCTCTTTTCAATGGATCGAAATCTTTGGATGTACTCGAATTACTATCTGTCTTGGTCAATATTGCGTCAGACATTTCATTTATTGGGGAAAATTCCGAATCACGCTTCAAAATAGTAGGGTCGTACATGACATCCCTCGGTGGAATGACAGCATCCGAACATGTATCAATGTCGGACCTGAAAGTTGCCAATGGCATAGTTTGGCAATAAAGGTCTAATTCATGGCAATAATATACCACATCACCACCCGTGGTGTATCGTGGAAGCCAGATAACATTTCTTCCATGTTCATCTCTGTAATTTTCTAATATATGTTCCGCCTCTTCAACATCAGTAAAAACAACTTCGTGGCTAAGGTCAACCGAGTTTAAGGTTTCCGAGACAGAAGGAATGTGATTTGAAGCTCCCAGCCCTAAAATAGACTGAGCTTTATTATCTGATGGAATACTGGTCTCAGAACTGGCAAAACTCACCACTGAATTTTTTCTAGTACTGTTAGCAGGAGAGTTCCTCTCAGACTCGCCTAAATTCTTTTGTAATAAGTTCGTAAATGATGGTATTAAAACATTCGCCGCCGTATTGGCTGCTGTAAGAGAATCTATCTCCTTGTTACTTTTCAACTTGTTCAACACCGGTTGAACATAATTAATTAATCGGACATAATTATGCGGGAACCATCCTCTCCCCAATTCATCGTTAGAATATATGATAACCCCATCCCACCATCCACTGTCAGATTTTGTCAAAACATAAATGGTGTCTCCCAAATTTAATGGTAAATGTGATGGTTGTGTCCCTGGGAAGTCGTATAGAGCTATTACAGTATCAAGATGCTTGAGAGGTTGGTCAAGCTCCTCTTTCGTATCATGCGGAGCAATGGCGTCTGGCGCTATTTCCTCCAAATACTTCGACATAATAGTATGAATTCGGTCGGGCTACCCTTAATGAATGTTAACTGGTCTTTTAAAACTGACAGATGTAAGCCGGAAGACAGTAACGATAATTGGCGATAGAATGCCTAACCTGTAAACTACAGCAAAGAATATTTGTTTGCATTTTAGCTTTCGTATTTTCTGTACAGATGACACAAAGTACTAGGATTGAACATAAACTAAGATAAAAGCACTGATATTCCTAGATCTATAGAGTTAATGGAACGGTCATGACCTAGGGCATAATTCTAAGGAATTCTCTTTATTTTTCGGGTGTAAACACTACAGTTACTTTGTATTCGAACCAAGTATCTAAATGGTGATTGTATTATTTGATTGATTCGCCTCTTCTTACGGCATAAATTAAAGTCTTGTCGTATTAAGTGGAAATGACATGCTGGTTATTATTTAGATGACCTATAATTTGTATATTTTAAGAATGCCGTTCAGGGAAATGAATCTCGGGTCATGTACTTGGCTTGCTCGGTCTTGGTCACTCGAAATTTTGGATGCAAAAAGGAAAGTACTTCGCATGCTTCTAGTTATGCTTATGATGAAATTGGATGTGCTTGGGTCTATATGATGTTGTAGGCTGTAACAGGCTGTCAATTAGGGAAAGTATATTTAGAAAAAAATGTATGAGTGTGTTTTTGTTAAAATTGTCAAAATAAACCAAAATCTGGTAATCAAGAATTTTTGATTCTTAGCAAATGACTAAAATAAAAAGAGTATTATCCGGAGAAATAGCACCAAGAGAAAGATGGTATGCCGAATTACATTCCTCAAAGGAATATGGATAATATTCGAGTACTATACTTATAAAGTACAGTAGACTATCTGCAGTATTCAGCCTAAGTTATTGCAAAACTACCATAGTTTATGTATGCGATGAATAGCTTGCAATTGGGGAACTATAAGCTATTGAATTACACTGTGCATACCGGATACACTGTGATACAGGCAATATTTGAATGATGGGATAAACGTAAAACTTGAGGTATATGAATCGGTCTTGTACGTTTTAGGATTAATACTGAGTTATGTTAAGCACATACAACACGTCAAAGAGATAACTTTCAAAGAGAATCAATTATTGGTATACAATGCTTGCACCGGCTGCACTTATCAATGCATAGTATGTAACATGGACCACTTTGAACTGGTAATGAAGATATCCTTTTGGTCGGCCCATAAATCGGTTTGCATATAATCGTGGCTATCCGAAAACTAAATACTGATAAAATGGATTCATTTAGTTAACACAGACACTCAAGCAAAAACCTACATAGATATATCAATAAACGTAATCTACCATTCTAGATAGAAAAAACCATACAGTAATGTCTATGTTTTTCAAAGCTCCTTTGGATATCGAGATTAGATTGGATAATGAGGACACACGGAAACATGTCGATGTTAAGACTCCGCAAGGACGGTTGGAGAAACTTCCGATTTACAAAGATGGAGAGTCTGTGAAGGGAACAGTTACAATTAGAACGAGAGAAGGGAGGAAAGTTGAGCATTTGGGTGTTCGGGTACAGTTGCTTGGGTCAATTGAAACAAATACAGATAGCGTAGTTTCGGATGACTTTTTGTCCATGGCGACAGAATTGGCAGCTCCATCACAGTTGATGCATCCAGAAACATATCCTTTCGAATTTAAGAATGTCGAGAAACAATATGAAAGTTACAGAGGGAAAAACGCCCGATTGCACTATTATGTCAAGGTTACGGTGTCAAGAAAGTCAGCCACTGAAATCACAAGGGAGAAGGAACTTTGGGTTTACCAAATAGCGGCCCCGTCCAATCAACCTGCTTCTGAACAGGGAACGGATATTAGAAATAGCCAGATTGCACAACCAACAACTGTCAAAATGGATGTGGGTATTGAAGATTGTTTACATATTGAGTTTGAGTACCTGAAGTCCCGCTTCTCTTTAAAAGATGTGATTGTGGGCAGAATATATTTCTTATTGGTAAGATTGAAAATCAAGCATATGGAATTATCTTTAATTCGGAGAGAAACAGTTGGAGCACCACCCAATCAAATTACAGACAGCACAACCGTGGTGAGGTTCGAGATCATGGATGGTGCGCCTGTCAAGGGAGAGACCATACCTATACGTTTATTCTTGGGTGGTTTTGACTTAACTCCAACTTATAAAGATGTGAACAAAAAATTCTCCTGTAGAACATACTTATCATTGGTACTTATCGATGAAGATGCTAGACGTTACTTCAAACAGAGTGAGATTATCCTATACAGAGACCTGTAATACAATTCTGTTGTTGGTATGTTCGTAGCTGTGTGTAATGATTTATGTATGTTAATATTTCAATTTTCCCTGTATACAAAAGAATTTGGAACCTCAGAAAATATTCCAACGAATCGATGCATATCTTCAGTGATACCATCGGATATAGAACTATAAATTATTAAGATATAAGCTTGTTTTTGGGAGAAATATCTAGTGCCTAGATATCAGTTGATGTACCCAGTTTATTTGGTTTCGAATGCATATACATAAATAATAAGAGAATAATGGACAAAGATTATTCGTTATCAACATCAGAACGAGATTTCCCGATACTAGCAACATCTCTGGTGCATAAGGATGATATGTACACGAGTGTTATTAATTCGTCACTTGATCTGGAAAGTTTGAATAATTATAGTAATCAGCCACAACCCACAAAGAATAGTAACCAAGCTGTTACATTGTCCACAGCTGGTATTCGTGCCATCGTATATCAACTACAAGCATTATATTTAAGAACGCCAGTTAAACTATTCAGACCATCGAGATTTGACTACATGGCTTATGTTAGAGCTGTAGCAAACAAACATGATGCAATTCATTTAAAACCGTACCGAGTTCGAACGCATTCTTCAATCGGTATGCTTGTGAATGTGCTACGGAAAGAGGGTTGGAGGTTCCTACCTGACCAAGTGTTGCCACCGTTGATAGCAAACTCAGCCACTGGACTTATTTTATATGGTACTTATTTATCATCTTTGGACCAATTTGACAAGCGCCACGAGGAAGAAAAGAAGCAAAATCAACGTAGTAATTATTATTATTCTCCGGTAGATACCTGGAGAGCAGGCTTGATTGCTGGAGCTGCACAATCATTAGCGGCGGCACCGGTGGATGCAATATATACTAGACTGTCCGCTGCAGAAATGTTGAATGGAACGCATCAGAATTTATGGGTTTATGGGTTAAGCAAATTAAAGGAAGTTGGTTTAGTTGGAGTGTTCGCCGGTTATGGGTTTTCATTAATAAAGGATAGTGTAGGGTTTGCTTTTTATTTTTCAGTATTTGAAATTGTAAAGACTCAAGGCTACAATATAACATATAGCACACTACTAGCTTATAAAAGAGCTCGATTATCGATCACGGAAAAGTTGGCTAAACTAGGAATTCACAAAGAAATTCGACACTCTGATGAACAAGTCCTCAAACTAGAAAAAAATCGGCTGATTAAAATTTTAAAATCAAGTTTTATATTATTAGCTGGTGCTTCAGCAGCATTTACTTTATTAGCTGTGCAGTATCCAATAGCTAAAGTGCAAAAGATTCACTTGTCCAGATTGGAAGCTTTAGATGTCTATAATGCCTCAAAGTCAACAGCGTATCGTCCTTTCATCAAATTATATTATAATTCTTATATCGATACATACAATCAAGTATTGAAAATTAAAGCCAAGTCTAAAGCCACCTGGTTTCAACTAAGCTACAAGGGCTTCATTAGAAATGCATTAACTACAATACCTGCAACATCGATGGGTTTACTCGTATTTGAAATTATGAGAACCAAGTTATCAGATAGCTTGGACGAAGAGGTCTTTGGAACAGGTGCACTTGATCCTTGAAAATTTATATTATTCCTTGTACATATTTATAACATATACAATATATATAGAACAATTATATAATTACAACGAGCCAGTCTTTTTTAAATATGCATTCCAACCTGCATCTCTGTATCTCTTACCTTCAACGGTTGGATCTCTGCCTTGTCCAAATAAACCTCTGCCAACAATGATAATATCAGTTCCAGTTGTAACAACCTCATCAACAGTTCTATATTGTTGACCTAAGCCATCACCCTTATCATCCAAACCTACACCAGGTGTCATAACAATCCAGTCGAACCCTTCATCTGTTCCACCCATATCTCTTTGAGCAATGAAGCCAATAACAAATTCTCTGTCACTTTTAGCAATTTCGATGGTTTTTTCTGTGTACTCACCGTACGCTAAAGAGCCCTTTGATGATAATTCAGCTAACATCAATAAACCTCTTGGTTCTTTTGAAGTCTCTTGTGCGGCCTCCTTCAAACCTTTCACGATCCCTGAACCAGTTATACCATGTGCATTGGTAATGTCAGACCATTGAGCAATCTTATAAACACCACCAGAATATTGTGATTTGACTGTGTTTCCAATATCAGCAAATTTACGGTCTTCGAAAATCATAAAATTATGCTTTTTCGCTAAAGCCAATAAAGGAACAATAGTACCTTCGTAGGAAAAATCATCTATTATATCAATGTGTGTTTTAACTAAGCAAATATAAGGCCCTAATTTCCCTATTAAGGTCAAGAATTCTTCAGTAGATTTCACATCAACGGAAGCACACAAGTTTGTTTTCTTGTTATCCATTAATTTGAACAAGCGCTGAGCCACAGGGGATGGATGAGCAGACGCTCTTTCGGTGTACGTTTGGGTTTTAACCATCGCTAAGTGGGATTTGTTAATCGTTAACTTTCTTTACTACGGTTGATGATTTCTGAAAAGTAGTTTGAAAATAATATGCAGGAAACTCATACATTAAAATATACATATACTTGATATACATCTATCAATTGGTCTTTACCGATAAAAATATTTAGCTTTGATACTGTTGATCAGAATAACAGTCTTTCTGATTTCTATTGCATTTATTTGCATTCGTGCTTTTCTTCGTCTGGCAATTTTAATTCATCCTTTGGATCTTCGTTTGACTCTTTTGTTGACTCTTTCTTAGATTCTTTCTTTGAAACTTCATTTTGTTTTTCATCTTGTTTATTTGTTTCATGCTTTCGCTCTATTTCTTTAGTCGATTTATCTTCATCATTCACTGAACTTGTTTCCTCTATTTTTGAAGAATTTTCAAGAACTAATTCATCCTTCAAATCAGGGTAAACCTGTTCAATTTTTTCCCAAGAAGTTTTCCATAATTCACTCTTGCTATCAGTCAATATACCGTTATTTTGCAATACTAAAATCATATTTTTAAGCAATTCTCCACCAGATTCCTTAATCAAGTTTTCGTTCATGTTAAATTTTTCACCTAAGGAATTAAAGACAATGAAATATTCCAAAATTCCTAACCATATTCTATCAGTTCCTTCCAGATCAAACTGGGACTCATACTTCAAGAAAACTTTACTTACTAAAGATAATGCTTCTGTCTGAGTCCGTGCAAATCCGTTTGGATCAGTTTGCAAAACTTCATTCTTAGAAAGTTCGGATAATAATGGGAATAAGCCATATTCAAAAATACCAGCTGGGGTGAATTTATCATTAATTTCAGAGGATAGAACAGTCAGCTGTAAAGTATTGATTGCATAGGTACGAACCTCTCGACAAGGATTAAAACATTGATGAGCTAAAGCTTGAATTAAAGAATATGAAAGGTCCTTTTGATTGAACTCAGGTCTTTTGGAAATTGAGTTTAATTCAGCCGTTAACGATATAGACTTCTTTGAAATTTCAACAAGATCCCTGTAATACGAATTGTCATCTTCTTGTTTCTGTCCAGATACAGCTAATTGTTCTGTTTCTTGTTCCCACTGGGAACCTGCTGCGCCAAGAGAGGATATTTCGTCTAATAGACCAAGAAGAGGCATATAATTTAACGGTGATACTTCCCTAGGTGAATTTGAAATTATACCATCAACAAATTTAAGCACATCAGAAGAGTATATTGGAATAGATCCAAATACTCTCAAAGCCTTCCAGTACTCTTCATTATTAACCAATTTCTTGCAAAACCATGATTCATCGTCAACTAATGAGATCAATGGTTGGGCTAACTGTGCACCATGTTTACTCATTAGTTCTTTATCAAATTCACTTAATTCTTTTATGCATTCAGTTAAGGTAGATTCATGAGACCCATCACTATGTCTGATTAACAATAATTTGTATGCACAGACTCTCAACTTAGCTTTTCTTGAAAGATCTTTTAAGCCACCGAAAAGGGCGATCTTGTCGAGTGTGGAATTAGTGATAGACTTATCGTCAAGTAATAAGCAGAAACACACCACAATTTCAAATAAGAACAAGTTCTCAATTTCAAAGTATCTCTTTGTTTCTTCCTTGAATGTGGGGATCGAATCCAACAATAGTTCTATGAATAGCTTTAAGTTGTCTTTAGGACCTTTCGAAATATTTTCAAAAATGCTACGAATATTTAAGGACTTAACACAGTCAATAGTCGAAAGAGTTGATTCAACTTCTTGATCAGTAGGTTCAGGTGGATCGTCTGAATAACCTTTCAAAAACGAAGAGAAAGTTGAAAAGATACCCGAATCCTTCAATGGCTTAATTCTGTTAATAATATAACGCGGCTTAACCTTTGCTAACGGATTTAACTTGATCTTTTTCTGAAATTCTGTGAAAAAGTTAGGATTGATTAAGCAGTTCTCGAATAATGTTAAGATAATTTTAATAATCTTATTCCAAGATTCAGTAACTTTAAAATCAGTCTTTTTAATTAACCTAAACAAGACAACTGTTGAAATTTGAGCTTTGAAATCTCTTCCAAACCATACTGCCATTTCACTAACTGTAATTGCTTCATCTTTCTTTTCAACTTTTATCTGTGTGATAGGGATCTCTTCGCGTACATTATCATCAGCGCTAGGAACATGATGGATTTCACTAGTTAATGTTGTTAGCTCAGCTAATAAGCCAACCAATTTATCGATTGAAGATGACAAATTGTAGTATAAACAAATATTAGCGCATTTATCAACAGATGACATTAACCTTGTAATAATTTGGTCGTCAGAAGCTTCTTTGAACACACTAATTAAGGTATCAATAATTCTATCAACAGATCCTTCAAATAATACCTTATCAAATTGACATAATTGGACATTGTCAAATTCTAAAGTTTCATCTTTATCTATATTAACTGCTTCTGAGGAAATCAAGTTATGCCATGCGTCATCAAACCACTTATCCGTACCATGGTGTTCTTCAGGCATGATTATCTCTCTTTCTTTTATGGAATGATAAATCTTAGAAAGATACCAACTCGGAAAATCCTTTCCATTATAAACTCCTCTCAAGTTACGCTTATATGCGTCAAGATCCATTTGTTGTCTAACCTTAGGGTTATGTAAATCAGTATTCAACATAATAACCGAGTAGGATAAAACAAATACTGCATCACGATCTGGCTTGACTGCTTCTTCTTCTGAATCACTTACTACATTTTCTTGACAATGAACGTATCTTTCAGCAAAAAGCTCGACCACTCTTTCAATTTGTTGTGATTCTCCAGGAAGTCTAAAACTTTTCAATAAAACTCTTAGCGCCTCATCTACCCTCAAACTAGTAAATTCAAACATATTAATGAATTTCCTCAAAATCTCGGTATTTGATGGTTTAGCTAAATATTCACCTAAAACTTTCTTGTTCAATCTTCCAGACTTTGAAAAGAAAAAGTGCGCTAATTCATCCGCATCATTTTCATCGTTAATAAAGCCTTTCTCAGCTAGTTCTTTGATTCCCGCTTTTGGCTTATTATTCAAAATATCAGTGCAGCTAATGAATGAGGTCTTTTTATATTTATCTAAAATTAATGAATGTAATTGCAAATCACTTAACTCCTTATCCATAGGTAAACTCTTAATTCTGTCATTTATCCCGCCAATAAATGTTAATATTCCTTCTAAACATATTGGAGGTACATTATCAGTCGTGAGAACCGCGGACTCAGGTAATGATAATTTGCATAGAAATTCCAAAAAGTTTCTAGACAAGTCAGTTCTATCAAAGTTACAATCATAATCGATGAATAGATGGGTGAAAAAGACCGGAGACCTTGTCCACAACAAGGATAACGATTCAATGAGCATTTCTTTTGAACTGGAGATTCTCGTAGCAACAGATGTTTCATTACCATTAATGGTATCATTCTTTTCAACAGAATCTGGAGATATTGAATTAAATAATAACAAAAGGGTTAATTCAATTTGTGATTTCAATTGCCTCCCTAAAACTATTGCAATGGTAGAGAATAGTTGCAATGAAGCTTGCAATAATGCTGGTGAATCAGTCGTCGTCATTATTTGTACAACATGTTTTGACACAGGGTCAGATACCAAACTCATTAATGATGGATGTTTTGGAATATCATGACCTGAAACCTCAATCGCAGTATTCATCAATGATAAAGCAAATACTCTAGTGCTTTCCATATGCTGATATTGATTCGAAGGAGAGATCATTGAAATTAATATCCCTAAAAATTCATTAATGCAAATTATACCGAATGGTTCCTCAGTATCCAAGGCTTCTTTATGATTCTCAGAATTAGAATTTTCTTTTGGGCTTACAACTTGTTGATCATTTTCCTCGACAGTATTTTCATTGAGCTCTCCATCTTCTGTTTTCTTATCTTCTACATTGCTATTCGTAACTTCTTCATCATCTTTCAAGTTAGAAGTGGTTGTTTCAGTACCACCGATCAAATCTTCCGGCAACTGAGTTTTAGAAAAATTTGTTTGCAAATCATCTATTCCCACAGTTTCAGGTTCGATATCCTTCAATTGACGGAATATATGGGAGGTGATCAGGGTCATTGCCATTTCTGCAGCCTTTCTTAAAACTTCACTCCGTTTCTTATTGCAAGCAAGAGACAAGCAGGTTTGGACTACTTCTGAAATCACTTCATTTGGTAATAGTTTAGACAAGGGACTTTCAAGAATATCTTCCATCAATCTTAGGACTTTAAGTAATACAGCATCATCTGAGCTCTGATCAGCCGCTTCAAAACGACAATGTGTTAATGCTGAGATTATTTGAATTAATGAACTTTGTAAATTTTTGGATTTAAACGAAATGATTTCATAACTTATGAACTTAGAAATCGAATTTAAAGCCAACGAAGTAATATTTCCTGAGGTAGACGACGACTTGATTACCAACAAAAACGGTTGTAGCAAGGTCAAGCTATCTATTTCATATAAATCTTTGGCGTCCGTTAACATCGATCTCAATTGTAAAAAACTGGATAAAAGTGGATTGTCATTGATTCCTGTTGATCGACTACTTCCATTATTCGCCATGTTAGTGCTTAGGCCCAAGTTAGTTATGGAATCGTTTTCACCAAAAATATCGCCTGCGCCCAAGATGGCGGCAACTCCACTTTGAGACCATCTAGTCATTTTCCTCATGGCTGAGGATATAGTCATACAATCATTTATCATCAAAGTAATAGGATCAATTGCAACATTTGAAACAGTTGACGTTGAAGGATGTAACAGTATACCTGATGGCTTATATCCGAGTGGGATACAAGGTGTAGGTGATTTGGAAAATTCATGCATCATAGTGAAAATAATTAATCTACTAGACTTAAGAGAATATAATTACTTCTATTCCAAGAATCACTTTCCTCTCTATAATATTTCTATGTAATAGTTAATGTGTTCAAAAGATCAACTAATTGATTTTGTCTTCACTATATTGAACGATTTGATACCATGTCAACAAGTGTTTTTCTTGACGCGAAAACGAAGGGTGGTTTTTACACGAAAGAGTAGACCCTTCAGGTAGACTGTATACCCTATAATGGCTTAAAGGGCATAAATTCTACAAGTACTCGTATGACTTTAAATTGCTTTGTATAATCGTAAGACATTACTGAATGTTAGTAAATAGCTTCAGCTTAAGGAATGAGTTAAATATGAGACTGTCGGCACAATTGGTAATACAAAAATGTACAAGCATTACAATGTAGAACCGGTAATATATATATATTCAAGTTAAAGCTATATGCACAAATTGATACCATCTCTAGATCCTTCTTTGATAATAATTACGGAAAGAGGTCCAGGCTAATCTCCATTCTTGTTGTTGCAATTTAGGATGGAAAACATCGAAGTCATATTTCTCCAACTTTTGCAAATACAAAGTTGTTGGAATAGCTACCATGAAAGGGGTAAATACAACATCAGGTATATTCTTTCTCCAACGTTTTTGATGTTTTTGTAAAATTTGGTCACTTGGATGAGACTTGACAATTGACAAGATCTCTTCTCTTGACTTGTCTAATTTGTCTCTTGCCGATAATATATGATCATTTGCTGTAACAGCAGTTTCATAGGTAATATTCTTTAGCTTCTCACGTACATCTGATATATCTTTTTCCTCCTTTAGGTGTCCCTGAGTAAGTCTAAGAACAGATTCTTGCGATAAGTCAAATTTTGTCATAAGATCGATAGGTAGTGTTATCTGATTTCTGGTTGAAGAATAATACTTTAAACCCAATATCATAGAGCCTATAGCAGTAGCTTGTCCAATATGCGCAGATATGTCGCTAACCTTTGATTGTAACGAAGTGGAGTGTTCCAACAAACTGATTGCAGAAGGTGAAATAGAAGGGGATAAAAGCAACCCCTGTGTTAAATAATTCAATTGGGAATATGTTCCCTCACCATAAGAACAAATATCATTTACTGTCTGGAAACTCTTTGTTTGTAGGAAATGCTTTCTCGTTTGCAAAAATTGGTGGAAATAAGATAAGTCCAAATTGAGATCATTTCTTAATGCATCTCTAATCAATATGGCGATCGGCTCACCAAGGTTCTTCTCTGAACTAGGATCAGTGAAAACTCTTGACAATAAATCACTCCAGAATTTAAATTTTATATCTGTAGTAGATATACCCATGGAACCTGAAAGTTGATTGGATGCTTTAGAAGAAACTGAATTTGGATTATTGCCACCATCACTGATTTTATTAATCTCAAGGTTGAAGGCACGTATAGCTAGGAAAGCATCTCTAGCAGGCTCTGGTATGTATTGTGCTAATATATAGGATGACCTATCGTGAACTTCTAAGAGAGAATTGATATCTTCTCTTGCACTATGTAATTGCAAATCGTAGTTATTATTTCCAGTCGAGTACCAACACTTGGCTGAAGTAAATCTTGGTCTTCTTAAGATTTTTTGTCTAAGCATGTTGCATAAATCGTTTAAGGTATACTTCTATTCTTGAAATCAAGTAAAAGTAATAGGCTCACTCTTTAGTGCAATCAAAAAAAATATTGATGATCTTCGATTTTTTTTTCAGAAGCTGACAACTTGTTATGAAAGTAGAACTTATAAGACCTTGTTCATATATTGATATATCAATAGGAGGGTGCAAAACTGGTAGGATAGTCGTGGAATTGTTTGAAGATTTAGCTCCTAAAGCTTCTGAGAATTTCATTAAGTTGTGTAATGGTTCACAAAGAACTAAAGAAGGAAGTCCTCTAACTTTTAAAGGCAATTACTTCCATAGAATTATCAAAAATTTTGTTATTCAAGCGGGGGATATTGAAAATGGTTCTTCAATTAAAGACTACCCTAATCTGAATGTTGGTAAAGGTGGTATATCAATTTATAGTAATGAAGCGTTTGAAGATGAAAATCTATCTGAATCTTTAGATGACCCTTTTAAACTTTGCATGGCTAATGATGGGACAGCAAATGCAAATAAGTCGCAGTTTTTCATAACAACCTATCCACAACCTCATTTGACGGGTAAGCATACGGTGTTTGGTAGAGTGATCCATGGTAAGTCAGTTGTTCGAGAAATGGAGAGAGTTAATACCGATAGTCAAAATATTCCAACAAGAGAAGATATAGTCCTCATTGAAGATTGTGGAGATTGGACAGAAAATATGGAAGTTCCAGTTTATAATGCTTGCTATGATCAAATAGGGGGAGACATTTATGAGGAGTATCCAGACGATGATGAAAACATAGATAAGGATTCATCAGAACTGGTTTATGTTGCATCTACAAAAATTAAAGAAAGTGGAACAATCTTGTTTAAAAAGGGCATGAAACAAGAAGCATTCTTGAAATACAAGAAGTGTTTAAGATATGTCATGGAATATATACCTGACGAAGACCAAGAACCAGATTGGTATAAAAAATATTTAGATATAAAAAAAAAATTATACCTAAATTTGTCTATGGTATGCTTAGGTCTAAAGAATTTTATCAAGGCAGCCGATTATTCTAGTTATTTATTAGATATGGATAATCTTACTGCCCAAGAAAAAGCTAAGGGTCATTACAGGAAGGGCAGTGCTTTGATTGAGCTTAAAAAATATAATGACGCTCTTACGGAATTCAAGGACGCTAAACTTTTGGTTCCTGAGGACCCAGCAATTGGAACACAATTAAATAGATGTGAACTGTTGATAGAATTGAAGAAGCAAAATGAAAAAGCAAAGTATTCTAAATTCTTTTCTTGATCATTTAACCGAAGAAAATATAGATTATATCTTACATAGAAATATTTTAAACGAATGCAAAATTTAATAATTAGGTATATATACAATTACCGGTAATTAAATGTATTTAAGTAGTAGATTCATTCTCATTGTCATTATTACTGGCATTGCTATTATTGCCATCGGCATTATCATTGTCGTTGCCGCCATTATTATTACCTTCTGTAGCATTGGTTACATGATTATTACTTCTATTATCGTCAACAAGACTTCTTAAATTCATAAACTCTAAAACATTGTCTTCAGAACCAATTCTATCCGTCAGCCTAGTTTGAACGCCATTCGTAGTTCGCCTGCTAGAAACACCAGTCGGGAATAATGGTTCCGAGTTTTCACTCAGTTGGGATCTTCTGAGGTAATTCAAAAGATGAGAAAATACTCCAGTTTGATTTCCTGATTCGCCTTCCTGTGCTTCATCTTGTGAATCCACCAGTTGCGGAGGAAAAGAATGTGTATGCATATGAGTGTGTGGAGAATTACTCTCACCCAATCCATTTCCTGACCTTAGAATTCTTCTGACGGGTGAGTTTCTCTCTCTATCTCTAGAAAATGAATTAAAAATATCTAGAAGTGCAGGTCTATGCACCATCGTAACATTAGGATTATTCTGCACATTGCCATTAGTTTCATTAGTCGAAGTTTCGTTCGTGTTTGATTCGCTAACCGAATCTCTGCACAAAGGACATGAACTATGGTTTTTCAACCATTCAAACAAGCAAGATTTTCCAAAAATATGACCGCAAGGCATCTGAACAGGAAGATGTTCAAATGTTCCAGTAAATTCAGACAAGTACTTTGGCCTTGAAGTATTCTGATCACTGGAAGATGAAGTTGACGTCGTGGAAGACGACGGAGAATCATTGGAAGTAGAATCAGCATTATTATTATTCAACTTTCGCTTCTTTATAGATGCATCCTCTTGTGATTCAGAACCCTCAATAATACTCCTCTTTTTGTTATTGTTAGAAAATGCTACGTAATCTTCAAAACAAATAGAACATTCTCTTGAGGTTTCTTTGAGCTCTTCTAACGTCTTAATATCAAAAGAGTTGAACTTATCGATAGTTATACCTTTTTCCTTGTTCAAGTTAACAATTGTGGAATAGGCCATCTGCGTAGCCAACCTAATGAATTCTTGAATTATTCTAGGGTCTCTGTTGGAAGAATTATTTGGCAAAGTCATTACCAACGAACCAGATCTGTTCGGATTCTGTGGATTATTTTCGTCAGAGAATACGTAATTCACTGTTATGATAATGGCGCCACCATTAGAGTCTGTACTAGCGCTTAATGCGTTAGCATTCGTTGAATCGGGACCCGAATCTGCATCTACAGTGGGATTTGATGAATCTGTAGTGGTTGAAGCCACCGCCGTGGTATTACCGCCGGCGCTACTTACTATTGGAATAGCCATTGGGGATTGAACCCTATTCCGATTAGCACCTAATATGGTATCCATGAACCTATCAAATATGTTCATTTCGTTTCTATTGTCATTATCATTTTCATTAGCAGACTCTAGTCCTTGGATACTGGTATTGGCATTACTTCCCGACGAGTTATCATTTATGTTACGATCTCCATGATCGGAAACTGTGTCATCTCTTGTATTTATATCTGCAGCGCCCTCTTGACCAGCGGCTTCTCTTGCTTGCTCTCTATTGTCTCTCGGTTCATCATTATCACTGCTATGATCGAAATGTTAGTTTATTGTATCTGGTATGGTTCTAAATACATAGTTACTCACCTATTATTCATTTTAGTGCTTGTGTTCGATTTAACTTCTTCTATACAAAAATTTTCAGCACTTTCTTCTGGAATTCAATACTCCTCCACTAAAGCTTTTATATATTTAACAATATCCAGTTACTATCTATAAACAGATATACTGTATTCCTTAAATATTGGAATTTGTCAGTATTACAAATCGCTGATTTTATCGTACTAAATTAAATGATCTTTTGTGTTACCGAGAAATTGTAGTTATTGCGTACGATATTTGTCGATTATATATATACATATATAAATTACTTCTAACAAAGAATATTTATACAGAAACACCAACTAAGAGACCCAAACCTATAATCAACCCGTATAATTTGACCGTTGATAATCTATTAATGGAGGCACCAGATTTTTTACCATTACCATAGTTTGAAGTTGTTATAGAACCGGTTTCATCCGTCGAGGTGGATATTGCAGTAGATGAATAACCAGGTGCATTCTTAGCGTTTGGGACAGACGATGAGATGGTTTTAATATCTTCGTCTGACGTGTATTTAACTTGAGCTAAAGAAATCTCAAAATCCTCTAAGTCGTAAACAAGATAAGCACTTCTTAACACATTGTCACCGAATAAAATGTAATCTTCTCCCGTTTGTGGTAAAATACTCAAAAAGCATTTGTTATTGCTATATTGAGTAACTAAGTTTGATAACGGAACTTGGATTTTTGCACCACTGAAATCAATGGTGAAGTAATAAGAATCGTCATCAACACAGTCGACAATGTAGGCACCCAAGGAAGACGAGTATTGACCATTTAATGTCTCGCCAACCACCTTCAAGAGAGAGGAAGGGAAGTACGAATAAGTGGATCCGGTATCCAATACTGCAGTGTGATCATTGGACGAAATATCAATCTCTGAGCCTGAATCATTGAAAGTAAGCCCACTTACAATAATTTCTAATTTGATAGCTTCGGAATAACCAAAGTTTTTCATAGTATTGACAATTTGCACAGTTTGCAAGTCGCCTGTGTACTTAGCCGAATCAACCGCTCCAAACAAGATAGAACCTGCCTTGGCATCTTTTTCGCCCAAATAAACTGAATATGCCGCCTTTTCAATAGTACCTTGACTCTTTAATTTCAATGGTAAATTTTCGTATTGGTAGTTACCTCCGTTTTGATTCGAATACGTAGTTTCCAATCCGGACAACCCTATGCCCAAAACACCAACATTGGAACTAGTCTCATTTGCAATGGCAAATGATAAGTCCTTTACCGTTATATCACCGAAGCGAACATCATCAGTCCCCCAAATTCCGTTTGCGTCTGTTCCATCAGCATAGCTAATTGAGAACGCTTGTGCTGACGAATTACGGTTGAAAGTATCCGATCCCTCAGTCTTAAAAGACCCATATGAAGTACAAGTATTAGTTGTTGCACCCCCGGCTGACTTACTTCTGCTTCCGCTTCCGCTTCCTCCGCCACCTGATCCAGGACCATCTGGACTTACAGTAACCATTGTAGTAGTGTCACCGCCACCAATGTTCCAAAATGCTTTATTATTCCCATCCGCAGATTTGGTAGCAACGTCTTCACTCGATTTTGAGACGTGCTTTGCATGCGCTTCGTTTTTATTATCCACCACCTTATCTTTCCCACCTTCATCTTTCATCTTTGGCAATTTGCTATCCACAATCACATCTCTCTTTGACGACGAGGAAGGTGCTTCACACAGTAAATCATGAGACATCATCCATAAATCCGAAGACCCCGTATCCACCAAAACCCCCACTTCATCTTTGTTTGATCCCACTTTCAAGTTAGCCAAGTAAAACGTTCTTTCATTCTGTAATTCCATTTCTGCAGATCCATCCCGCTTAACAAAATTTGGCCTTTCACCTTCGGAAGATAAGTCTCTTTTACTATTTCCTCTTAAAACATTAAAATCTATTTTGAATATGCTTGGATTCTCTCCAACTGCTAATGCAGCCAATGCAATGGGCCCTAGCAAAGTAGAAACTTTCATTCTTTCTAGCAATTAATTGCAACAATACCAAGACTAAATTTCTATACTTTTAAAATGTACGAAATATGAAATAATATAGAATTATATGTATATATGAAGTCCAACTACCAAGGAATTTAGAAGGCCTCATTTATTGTTCTATAAATATTTTCTTGCACTGCCGATGCGATTTTTCCGAGTGATTCTGAAATTCTTAGCATTAAACTTGCTGAATAATCGTTACACTAAGGGTCGGTATGTAATGACTAGGTTAGATTTTACGAAAATTTGATTCTATACATTAACTAAGGTATAATTGTTTATGTTCGTGACTCTGTAGTATATTTTCTTGGCTCTATCTTAGTGACGCTTTTCGGTAATCTATATCCTTGATATTTTACTGCGAGAATTGCAATACGTATTTGATAGAGTATAGATAGGGTTTAGAATATTATTTAAAAGAGACAGATGAAAGGATCTTCATGCATTATACCCTTTGTAAATGAGGGTATTATATATAATAAATTATAAGTGGATATACGACAGACCAGCTTATGTATATGGTATACTTCATTCATGTGTGTTTGGCACTATTACTAATTTAGCGAAGTCGTCAACTACTTTGGAAGTTATTATAAGCCCTGTAGGATCATCTAATCTACTATTAATTAGATCCATGTTCAAAAATAACAGTTCCGATATAATGAGTGTGGTTGATTGATCAGTAGATTTTATGCGTGTAAGTAACTGCCACAAGATTTCTAAGTACAGTCTCAAATTATCTCGAGAAGCAAAATAGTTTTCGGTTAAATAATCATAAAGGGGGATTTCAGACGTCAAATAGGCGATGAAATCGTCAAGCTGGTCAAATTGCGTACCGTTATCAAATATACGACACATTTGATGGCATAGATCAAATGAATTTCGAAATAATGGTAGATTCGGATACAATCTATGATGAACTTGGTTGCTATTCCAAAATACGGTGAATGTATCCTGGAACCTACGTCTCGCTATGTCAAATATTTCTCCAAAGTTAAGTATTGTGTTGGTTGAACTTTTGAAGTTTTTCAAGGTCATAATGAACATACCTTGTAACACTAGACAACGCACAAACACCGAGAAACAACCGTAGTTGCAGGTCTGGAGTAATCTGTCAACTAAAGACACTCGATTATTGGTTTGACGCTTTATTGTGCTATCTAAGCAATGAAAATGATTAAACAAATTAAGAATGCTTGTTAAATATGATGCGAATCTTAGGGAGGGAAAATAATGAGTGAATTCAATACTCATAAAAGATAGCCATCTTATTGCTGCTTGTTGGCAAAATTGATTTTTCACAAGGGATCGCAAATCGGAATCCGTTTGTTCAAAACCTGGCTCTAGACTCTTTTTCTTGAAATCTTTTAGTTCGTCTAGAGACAATGACGAAACATCGCAATAAAATTCAAGGTATGATCTAAGAAACAGCTTGATTGATGACGTGTATTGAGTTCTGTTAAAATAAAGTCTCATTGTTTGAAACGATATATTTGACAATGGATCAGTTATGTTTGTCAAATCATTGAATAGAAAATCAAATGTTTGTTTATCTGGAACAACGGAATTTGCAAATTCTTTGGAATCAATAAATGTGCCCTTTAACATAATATACGGCACTTCTAAGTCGACTATTCTTAGATGGATCCAATACATAACCACTCGAACAACATTTTTATCCACTTGTGTTGAAACCTTCTTGGTGTCTTTCTTAATTGTATCCAAAATCCACTTATTCAGCTTCAAAAGTTCTATTACGCTAATGAATGAAGAATAATCGTCCAAAACCAAATTATTATAGGTGAAAAAATCTCGTATAATTAGATACCATTCAATTGAAAAAAGGATATCAGAAATCTTAGTGGAGTCTACTATGATATGCCGTATCATACTCGAAATATTTATCCACCCTTGTATAACTGTTTGCTTATCCAAATTTACAATCACTTCGTTTTCCCATCCTGATAACAAGTAGCCAATTGACATGATAGCATAAAAATGACTAATGCATTTCAAACTATGCTTATCAATTTTGATCGTATCAGTCGATGATAAATTTGAAATAGAATTAAAAAAGCCCTTAAATACATTCAAAACCTCTCCCATATTCAAAATATTATAGTAGGTATAGCTACTAGACAATATGTACTGATGGACCAATTCTTCTAGTATTGGGAATGCGGGCAAAAAACTTTTGAAGATATTCAAATCCGTATTATTAAATGTGAACATGACTTGCTTACTTTGCATATCTTCTACTTCAATTGGACTTGCGTTTGAATGAAACCTCTTATTTGATTGATCTTGACCTGGGCTTGTAATTGTCATATTTGGCTGCGATAGGTAAAAGTTATGTGTGTTCAACGGTTGATCCACTGCTTGTGTCCCCATTAAATAAAGCTCGTTCATTCTCTGATGCTGAATTGAGTTGCGATACTCGTAATTGTTAACATCAGGATTTAACCTTATATCGTCTAAGCCCCCTCCTAAACTATGGCTCAACAACGAAGACGATAAAGAAACGCTTCTCGATGCAGTACCCTGATTATCAGATAATGACGTCGAGGATATGGAAGCAAACAGACCAGGAACAGAAGCATTCGATACGTAGCTGTTCTCTATGCAAGGGTCTTTCGTGTCGTCTATCCTCAGATGAATCATTGCTCTCGGTAGTACCGAATAATTAACATTTTGGACTATACCCTGTTCCAAACTACCTTTATTTAACAGCTCAACCGTTACACTATTTGGAGCCGGAGTCGCCGATGGACTTTCAGAGAAATTCGTGCCAGAAACTGGCATCTTGTGAAGCGTTTTATCAGAACTATCTTCGAGCTCATCTCGTTTACCATGATTAGCAGGCAGCGAGTCTTCTTCCTCTGAAAGCGCTGCCAACTGTTTCTTCCGTTTGGCCAACGTCTTTCTTCGAGTGCTAATACTGATTTCTTCACTCGATGGTGGTCTTGGCGGATCCTCGTAGCATTTATCTTCCCTTCCAACCTTCTTGCATGCCTCACATGGCGTCTGCAAATTACATTTAATCTTAAGTGTCTTACATGGGCCACAGCTGTAGCGTCTCCGCTTACGTTTTGTTGTAGGCGTCGCCGTACTCATTTATTTTGCACTTTGTTTCCCAAGTCTCCACTAGTTCATATGTTAATATATCCTTTTAGGCTTATTGATACTAACTAAGGCGCTTATTATCTTATATCACTATAGCCTATTTATTAGGTGTTATTCTAACTTCCAATTTATTGCCCTAACAGGTTTTCTGATAATATGGGGTCGAAGAGTCATATATACTTCAATGCTGGAGAAGCTAATAATCCCATTGACTATTACTACCTCGTAAATACGAGCCATGTAGAAAAAGGCTACCAACAATTCGCACGACCCGAGCGATCAAGAGTCGTGTATGAATCATAAAATTTCATCTGTCCAATTGTAATACAACTATTTTTCAAAGGTAATAATGAAGTGTATGGAAGCATTTGCATCTAAATAGGATTTTCAAGGATAATTTATCTAGACATATCTAATAACATAGCGGTAAAATGATTTCCAGTAGATCAGTTTTGAGAAAAATTGGTCAAGCTAATTTAAGAACGGTTTCGTTGAACAGTACCAGATTATTTTCCAGCACTTCAATCAGACAAAATGAAAATGAAGAATTTGTAGACTTAAATAAATTACCAAGAAAGGATCCAGGTACTCCAATCGTTCCATTAATCAACCCAGCCGAATACTATAAGGATCAATCGGAAGAGTTGCATAAGTTCGGTAAGTACATTATGGGATGTTTACCAAAGTTCATCCAACAGTTCTCAGTGTGGAAAGACGAGCTTGTGATTTATGTTGCACCATCAGCATTGAGACCAACAATGATGTTCTTGAAGAACCACACTGCTGCACAATTTAAGGCGGTGATGGATGTGACTGCTGCGGATTACCCATCAAGAACCAATAGATTTGATGTCGTATACAACATGTTGTCAGTTCGTCACAACTCTAGAATTCGAGTTAAGACGTACGCCAGTGAAGTCAGTCCTGTTCCTTCTATTGTTCCATTATTTGAAGGAGCCAACTGGTTTGAAAGAGAAACGTATGATTTGTTTGGGATCTTTTTCGAAGATCATCCAGATTTGAGAAGAATTATGACTGATTACGGTTTTGAAGGTTACCCATTAAGAAAAGATTTCCCTACTACCGGTTACACCGAAGTCAGATATGATGAAGAAAAGAAGAGAGTTGTTTACGAACCATTAGAATTGACTCAAGCGTTTAGAAACTTCGCTGTCGGTTCCTCTGTTTGGGAACCAGTTGGTGATGGTAAAGACTTCACTCCAGAATCGTTTAAATTGCCTACCCCAGAACCAGAACCAACCAAAGATGACGATGATAAAAAATAATCTTTCTGCATAACCTAATATACATCATTTATATTTTTTTCTTTGTATTGTTATATTTGATCTTACATATTCTTATTCTCCTACTTTTTGTATTCTAATTATTTAATACATTATACAATTTAACTAAGTCCGCAATACTCTTATTTCTTCGTTAGTCTTATTGAGTTCGCTTTGTCTTTCGTTCAAAAATTCTTCCAAAATTGTAACTTGGTTCTCAATAAGTTCAATGTCATTTTTCGCGTCGCCTAGATCTTTCGAATTCTTGTGATTAGAGCCACTTTCAAGTTCTGACAATATGTTCGTTTTGTACTTCAATAATTGTTCATACTCATACTTAATCATGGCCAGCTCGCTGTCGTCATTTTTGTTCGAGGTATGATCCTTTTGTGATGCTTTTGATAGTAAATCTTCCAAATTGGCCAATTCCCTTCTTAATCTAACTTCTTCCCAGTCAGTGCCTTCCGTAGCCGAAAAGTCAGTTCCCCTCTCATTAGTGGCATTGTTTGCATGCCCGATTTTGTTCAAATAACTGTTTGCAAATGAGTTCTTATTGTTCACAGGAGCCAGATTAATTGGTTTTGAAGGTGCTTGATTCAAATCATATGACGGAGTATCTTTAGAAAACGTGGCTCTTAATGATGCCGGAACGTATCTTGGAATTCTTTTACCATTCTCCCGCTGATTCAAAATATGTAAAAAAACCAAAACCTGATCCTTATCTATGGCCTCGAATGATTTTGGGTTAACCAAGTTCCATGCTGATGAGATATCAGACCTAGGCACCTTGGCAAGAGTCTGATACAATCCAGTTAAAGAATCAAATTTCACTCTTCCGTATGAATCACTATTTGAGTTATAAATAGTTTCGTAAATAGACTTATCTGTAGGAGATATATACCAATCAAAATCGTCTGATAATGATTCATCTTCATCGTCATCATCTGTTATCGTATTGTTGTTAGTCTGATAGTTGTTACTCCCAGAAGTAACAGCCATATTAGCTTGGATTAAATGAGCTTTCGATGCTGGGACTAGCCAGCTCGGTAATTCACTTGGAAGAGATTGTTGATTTCCATTAACCAAATCAAAAATCAATCTCATAGTAATACAAAACTCTTCGAAATCCAATTTTCCGTCGGAATCGATATCTGAAAGATCCCAAATTTGAGATAATTGATCATCTTTCAATCTTGAGTTCTTTAAAACAGTTGAAGCTTTATCCCCAGTTATCTTATTATCAACAGGATTCAAGCCTTGAAATATTTCCCAGTACTTCTTGATTTCCCAATCTTCTAAGCGTGGCATTATGTATAAATTAACTTATTCACTTGTATAATTGTTAAATAGGGTATTTAACTTGTGTATATTTGATTTAGAAACTCTGTTCACGTTGCGATATGATTTTTCCTCGATTTTACTATTGCCGACCCTTTAAATTTAACTTCAAAAAAAATATTAATAATTATCCTACTTCAATTAAACCACTTCTGATTTCTTACTTGACTTTGTATAGTATCAACTATTAGCTGAATAAATTTCCTATTTTTAGTAATTAAATAACTCTTTAGCAAAATATAAGCTCATGTAGACACATTTCAACATACTCATATAATTCGGGCGGTTGGTGTAGTGGTTAACATATTTGCCTTCCAAGCAGGTGACATGGGTTCGATTCCCGTACCGCTCAATTTTTTTTGATATTTTCTCTCCCACAAATTGTGCTTGTTATGTTTTTCTTTATTTAATAATCCGGGTAAACTCGGGCGTGTGGCGTAGTTGGTAGCGCGTTTGCTTCGCAAGCGAAAGGTCTCGGGTTCGATTCCCGACTCGTCCAATTGTTTTTTTTTGCTAACGTACTAGTTTTTAGAGTATTAAACTACAGATTTCATCCTTCTTTCGGCATAATAATATATAGTACGTCTCAAGCCGATAGGATAGCTTAAAAGTTTAGATCTAATCATACTAAGTTTATTAATTAACATAGCGATAAATAATATATGTACACGAATAGCGAATAAAAGCAAGCACTTGAAAGAATTAATAATTCACTGCTGTGGTTTATTCCTAGATTTAGAAGAGGCACTAGCGTATGCCTATACATGTCTCTCAAGTCTGTTTAATCTATTAGCGGTTTGAGAATTATTTCTAGTTCTTTGACCACGAACTGGCAAACCAGCTGCATGTCTGGAACCAGCAATAGAACCGATAGATCTTTTCAATTTAATATCATCAAGTATCTTTTGTTTCAAATGACCTTCAATAGTTAAGTCAGATAACTCCTTGTTTATTGCCATGATTTGAGGTTCTGTTAATTGGTTCATTCTCATTTTTGGATAAATACCTACCTTAGCGCAAATTCTTTCGGCAGTATTATAGCCAACACCAAATATCTTTTTTGCCAACCCTATCTATGTATGTTGTTAGTATGCTGTGGATCAATATTTTGTAGCTCAAGACAAATTGTAAATATTCATTAACTTTCTCATTTAACGGTATACAAGAAAATTTTATACCAAGAATACATACTTTCACCAATGCATTATGCTTGATAGATTTACCAAAGATGTGGACACCCATTTTAACTCGTATAAATTATCTACCAGGCTTATGGTTCTTGCTAGTTGAATATGTTTGAAAAGTCTCGTAGAAGTTTGTACTTGAAAAATTATAAAAAAAAAAATTACGCAAAAACGGTATCATTGATACTTGTATTATTATAGTTATAAAATTTAACCAAGACAATTGGAATTTAATAAATATTAGTTAGAAGTAAATTAGCAGAGCCAGCTCAGACATTTACCAATCAGTAAAAAATCACCAAATATAATCGGTAATATAGTTGGCAATGCAAGGTCAAGGGAGACCATTCTGATCGATATCAAGCCTTAAAATAAGTAATGATCTTAATAATCCTATCATAGTAATAAAACTAGCCAATCCAACTGGAACTACGGCAAACACTGCTATATTATAAAAATCGAAAAACCGTGCTCTTGTGTTACCCTTCAAGTCTAGATTCAGTGTAACAAAATTCTGACCAATGTAAAGTAGGGTTAAACAACAGCTTATTAATATCCAAATATGTAAGCCATATTTGTACCCATCAGCAGTAAATGTAGAGAGAAGGTATTGCTCAATAGTTATCATTATTGTTGACATGGACAACATCCTAACAATGGCCGCCAAAGTCAGATAAGTAACAATCCACCTGATCATCAACCCGTCCAACACAGAAAATGACAAATACCCTGCAACGATGCACCAGACGCCAGTTAAGAAATGCTCTGAAAGTCTAGCACTTGTCATAGATAGGTATAAAGTTTCATTACCTGTCTCTTGTGCAACTAAACTTAGATTGTCATCCACAAAGTTATTCATTGAACCCGAATCAAGAAAAACTCTGTTCCAAGATTGTATTAACCCTATCAAACAAGGTATTAACGATATATCTCGACAACAAGCTAACATAAAATGCTGTCTTGCATTCAAAAATTTTAAGCCTAGCATTTTTAACGAATTTTTGGTATTATCCTTATGCGAACCATTGCTGTTTGATTGGCTAACATTAGGGCCTTGATGCTGTGCCAATGGTGTTATCGTTGCAAACGAATTAGTTCTCGAAATAGTTCGAGATATATTTGATGAATTAGGAATGGAACCATTCCTATCAGGTGCCCTTTGTTGTTGTTCATACAATAACTGAGACGTCTCGTATGATGGAACCATCTCTGTAGGGTCGTAGGGGTCTACCACATTATACACAAAAGAATTTGTAGATCTGTCAACATTATTTGCATTCGGATTGATAGTATTTGGTACGTTATTTGCTTGTATTGAATCACGGATGCTGCTGCTCGACCTTGAGGGGGTACTATAGTCTTCATCAATCTGATGGGACTCAAGCCGATGGCTGAAACGCTTACGTATAGATTCCATTAGAGCCATTAAGAATAGGGCTTGTTATTATTTTAATTCGTAATGTTTTGAGATGGAATATATAATTTTTTTGTCTCTAAATTACCGAGGTGAGCGACAAGATCGACAGTTGTAACAACAATTTAATTTCTGAAGTATAGTTAACAGATGTGAAATATCTTAAGTAAGTAGTTCGTTGACAGGAATACGTTACTATTTTTTTAATATTTGGTGTTCTTAATATAATGTAAGGAACACATTTTCGTACAATGTGGTACCTTTACTCCTCGTCGATTAAAACGTAATGAAAGATTTCTACAATTCAGTCTACTTATGTATCGACGTTTTAACACTCAATTAATCATTTATTCAGGTATTGATATAAAACTACTAATTAGAATATCATTAGATAGCTTCTAATTGTTGACTGATTTCTTCTAATTCAGCCTTAGCAGCATTATGTTGTTCAGTCAATTGTTCGAATTTGTTTTCCCATTCTTCCTTTTCACTTTCTAAAGAGGCAACCTTTCTTTCTAATTGCTCTGCCTTGATATCAGTTTCTCTTAATTTTTCAGTAGTTTCCTTCAAATTTTTGTCAGCTTCTTCTAATTCTTCTTCCAAAACTTGATGCTTCTTAGTATAGTTCTCGTTCGAAGTTTTCAAAGAGTGTGATTCGTCTGCGGTTTGCTTGATTTCAGTCAAGTCGGTTTCCAATTTCTCAACCTGTTCTTCCAAGACTTGGTTCTTTCTGGTGAGAGATTGGATTTGGTTGTCCTTGTCTAAGTTTTCTTGTTCCAATTCCTTAACACGATCAGAATACTCATCGGACTTTTCTTGCCATTTTTCAGCGTCCAATTTCAAGTTATTGATTTTCTATTTGGTTAGTATCTTCCCTTGGTCTCTCTCGGATTTATTTTACATTGTACGTGTTGTGTTCCCATCTTCTAAAAGCATATACTCCTCCCCTACTATCCGAAAAGTATTCTAAGAAGCCATCACTCTATACTTCACTTTAATGCTATATTGAAGATGGCCAAAATGTGACACATCATTTATTATACATCACATTTTGTCCATCGAACAGAACACGTCATACAATAATTATCGCCGGTGATCAAAATACTTACTTCCTTAAGCTTATCCATTCTAATTCAATTGATACAATCTAATAGTATTAATTTCTACCTGGGAGGTAATTTAATAGTTTCGCCTTTATAAATTGCCGATTTGTTGTAACGACTTTATGTTGTGGTTTGGGTGGATCATAAATAGTAGTGTGTGGTACAATCCTGGCGCTCCATATGATAGCGGCTTGACTAGTAAATAAGCGACAAAATTTGGCTGACGACAAAGGAACCGGGTAATTCTGTTACGAGACATTTTGTTTTGACGACGGATCACAAAAATAAAATAGCTGCGACATTGTCCTCCAAATTTACAGTACATTTGGGGGACACGGGGTGCGGAAATTTGGTGTATGGATGCATTTTGCCACATGCGACTTTTGTCGTGTACTCAATTCACATTTAAAGTATGAGTTCGCCTGTTATTGCGTGCGGCTCGTATGTCTATTTTAAGAATAACGCAGCCAGCCACTTCTTGCAGAATAAGTCCAACAGATCATCGGTTATAGAATTGATTAGACGAAAATTAGATCAAGATTGTAAATTTCTTACAATTTACGTTTTATTCTATTATTCGTATAATTAAGGTATTCTCTTAAAAGGCCTTTGAAAGTTAGAAGGTGAATCATCTAAGAAGTTAATGCTAAGGGGATTACATCGGCCCTAGTTAGTTGTACTTAGTAACATATTGAATAATCATGGTGGGGATGACTGAGAATCTATCGTTGGAGCTTCGAGAAGGAGAACCATTCAGGAATGGAGATAGCCTAATGGAATGTGAGAAGATGCAATACCATAACAGTAGCTCTGAGGAGGCTAAACGATCTAACCCATTTGATGTGCTATATGAGCCACATAAGGTACATTCACCGAGTCATTATAACACCCCTTTGAGTCAATCATTTCGCTATCTTGAGATGGAGCATAACAATGCAACGAATAGGGACTGGTGTGTAAATGATACGAGCTATAATAACATTGTCACAGTTATAGATTCGACGGACAGTATTAACAGAACTGGATCAATGATCTCAAGATCCGCAACATTGAGGAATAGAAACAGGATTAAGACAAGGAATAAGATGGTTAGAAAGAATGACATAGACTCAGATCCTGAACCCAAACGAAAGTCAAAGTTGGCATTCTTGTTTCCGGCAAGGAGAGAAAGATCTTTAAAGCGGAAGCCAAAGTATGTACCTTTAAACAGGTCACCAAAATTCACAAACGCTCATGAATTTCAACAGTTTTTCGATAAGTCAAATGCAATAGATTTGTTAGCAGAAATGCTACCCCCAAAAATGAACCACTTCAAGTATAAAAGATTATTCCTTCCTGATCCTAAATTAATAACTTCCAACGCATATTATCAAATTACCAGAAATAACTCATTCATAATCAATCCCAGAACACAAGCCTCAAAAAAGATTATTTCTCTGCCTATTAAAGACACCTTTACAAAAAACGGAGTGAAAAACGAGCCAGATCTTGACCAACAATTTCAAACACCAGATTTTGGTTCTGAAGCCTATAACAAATACAGGATTAGTGTTTTCTCAAATAAATTAAGTACTGTACCTACATTCTATCAATTATTTCCTGAGGAGGCTCATTTAGGCATGATAAGTGCTTCAGAACTGGAGCAAATTAATAAAAAGTTATTATTCGAGGTATTACTAAGAAGAACCATAGCAGCAAAAATTGGCTACAGAATAAAACATAATGGCTACTTCAATAATAAATCGACTAATAATGCCTCTAGTAAAGGTGATTCAAGCTCTGAATCCCATTCTGGCTCATCATCTGATAACGAACGTTTTGATAACCAAAACTTACCTAAATTATCCAAATCGCATACAAATTCATCTTCCAATGATGAATCAATTAATACAGAAGAATTACTACAGCAAAATGCATCGTTGTACTCTGGTGTATTACCTTCTCCTCAGATCAGCTACTCTTCAAGAATTGAATTGGATTGCCTTGTATCTGAAATTCTGGATTCACCCAACTTCTTACCTTTGCATAAATCAATTGAGAAAAAAAATTGTTCCAGTTCTTCAGTATATTCTACACCTAAGACTAACAAATTTTTAAACAACGGAAAATTCACTCCAATGGCTTATGTGGAGTCACCAGAGCTGTTATACATAACTAAGTTTAGGAAACAGATTAATAATGAAGGAAACCCAAGCGAGAGAAAGCCAATTTCAACAATTGCAAATTCTCATCAAGTAATACTTCCTGAAACACATTCGAAATTTTTGCAGTCTATGACTCAGCCTAATGAGCCGGAGTTGACTTTATCAAGTTCTCCCAACAATAATTCGCCTAACATGAAATCAAAGCGTAAATCACATACAAGTTCAAATACTTCCATTTTGCAGGATTTAGAGGATTTATCTAGCGAACTTTCTTCGTTCGCTATTGGGCATGAAGATATGGTGCAGAACTTCCAATATTCTGCTCGAGATGAAAGTTTGAACATCCCGTTACACACACATCATAACTTAATTCAATCAATTGAAGAATCGAAAGATTCTGTTGGTTTGAGGTCTGCCAACTCAACACTTCCAATAAGGAGTGAAAGTCCAGTAGCTGATATTAAATCAATGAGAGCTTCTATTTCCATAATTGGTACATTAAGTGATTCAAGTTCTAATTCTTCATCTAATAAAAAAGTATCCCTTCGAGATGCTATCAATGCGCATAACGTTAACTCAATTGAAGCAAACATATCAACAGTCGCCTTGAAGTCAATAAGTTCAAATAAAGGCTCAAAGTTAAACAGTCCTACAATATAAAATATGGGATAAAGGCATGGCTTCATTTACTATATATAATGTACACTAATAAACACTATCACTAATTAAGAATTAAATGTCATTGGTAACATGAACTCTCTGATCTTCTTTGCAGCTTCTTCGTCTGGTGTTTCATCTGGTGTAATATCCTCCGCATTTCTTGTAGGATAATAACTTTGATCTAAAATATTCAACATGAATAAAGGTATTTTACCATCCCTAACTCCCTCACAAACCACCAACACTTCATTGGGAGTTATAAGGCCAGATTCGTTCAAAGACACTAATCTATTAAACCATTTACGATCCTTAATATATATTGGCTGAATATCACGACCGTTTGTCACCGAAGGTGTGTTGATAGCAGCAATTGCAGCTGTCGCCAATGCATTTTCAAACTCAGTCGTCGTGGTATTTGAATTGGTCTCGGGGGTATTAATATTTCTGGACCTTTTTAATGCCGGGTCAACTGTATCCTCGTCACCAACTTCCGGATCGTGTTGCATAGAGGACAAGCTATTAGTGAAAAGAGGCACATCTCCTTGGGAATCATGGCTTTGATTAGACTCGGCATGTGTTCTCTTCTTCGTTTTGGATGCATCATTTGTACCTAATTTTATGGACTTGGCTTGAACTAATGGTTTGAAGTATTCCTTATTTGAGTCTCTGTATTCAAACTTCGGGATTTCGTGGTAAAGGTCGCCCAACCCGTCCGCATACCTGTTATCTAATCTTATCAATAACGGTAAAACTTCATTATGGTAAGTAGACATATATCCTAAGTGATCAGTCAAGAAAAAATCAGTAACAATCAAGTTCCCCTTGTTAAAGGAGCTCAACGATGGAAGTGACATGCTATCACTATAAAGCAAAGATTTTACTTGACGCTCGTCTTGTATGATTCCCCCGTTTGTATTATCAATAATCTGAAACCTACCTCCATCTGGATTCCATCTATAGCTGTATCCATCGGTTGTTTGATTATTCTTCAGATGAAGCATCAAAATATACCAAATTTTGAATCTATGATGGTTCACATTAAATAAATGTTGCTGGCATGAATATTTGGTGTATGTCGAATACACCGTTTCAGGATTAGCTGCTCTTAATTGCCCTGTAACATATGCCCATGCCTTCTTCGTCATCTCTGCCTCCGCTCCCTTTGGATAGCTGTGTACCACATCCGATAATAGCTTTATAAGAAACTGGTCCATTTTAGGCGACCATCTCTTGTACTTAGAATCCCGAGATTTCAAATCATATTCACTAAAATCGTGTCCGTTATTCCCTTGTTCTTTGTCTATTTGCTGAACATGTTGTTGATTATGTACTTGATGATGTGTTGATTGCGTGGCAATTCTCAATGCCTCAGCTGCATGGTGAACATTTTGCGCTCTAGTTGCTTCTTGTAATATCGTTGATTTAAGGTCCGATGTTGACATCTTATCTAAATGTTGATTTACAGATTATAAATAGTACTTATCTAAGTTGTAAAATTTATTTGTTGTTTGTTAAAACGTAAAAACTTTTAATAGCAAGTTAAGCCTGTAAAGCAAAATCATGTGACCACACATCAATATCCATACTAAAACCTATGAAGACCAAATCTTCTGCTAGATGATCTCTTTTGGGTTTTAGGATCAGAGCCTGCTTGTACAGAATGGTCATTAGAGAAGTAGTCTTTTTTATCGGAGACAGTCGAGTCGTGACTTAAAATTCTGTCGGTATTCGATGTGTAGAAGTCAAGGCCATTGGACTTGGGGTAGGGTTTGTTCATTGGCTTATCCGTATTTAATGTCAATGTACTCTCGCTTAACTTCTTGGCCATCTGAAACTCTTCATGCTTCTCTTGCACTTTCGTGAACTTGTCTAACATCTCATGGATGCGCTTACGTTTGATGGAAAGTTGATTTCCAACAGATGTGCTGGAGTTGGTGGCGCCAGGAGTTGCAACTGGGGTGGTGATTGGGCCGGACGAACCTGACGGCGTGTTCAACGAATTGACACCAGAAACCAACGATATGCGCTTTTTCAAGGTTGTGAATGTGGACGACTGAGGAAGAATCATGAGTAATCCATAGAGGGTCTTGTACAAGTAAGGGTGCTTTTCTGGTTCTAGCAACTGTAATCTCAACTTAAGGAAGATGGGAGATTCCAACAACTGGACCAAAATATCAAGCTGAGTCAAAAGCTGGAAACTCACCTCCAGTTCTGAAAAAC